GCCTCCATCATGACGGGCTCCGTGCAGAGCGCGGCCCTAGAGGGCAGGCCTGGCCCCCAGGCCTGGAGGAGGGCCCGGGAGGTGCCAGGGTCCCCCGAAGAGCTGCAGGAGCTGCTGCGGCCCGTGCCCCTGGAGATGCACAAGGTGGGTGCTGGGTGGGGACCCCCCTGGGACGCGGAAGGCCTCTCTGCTCTCCACGTTCATCCTTCTCCACCGTAAAACAGGGATTTTATACCGGGTTGAGTTTCCCACAGCCTCGTCATTTGGGTGATAAACATGCACAATGCAGAACAGGACTAAGTGGACTGGCTTTTACCCCCTGTCCAGTGTGTGTGTGTGTGTGTCCAAGTGTGTGTGAGTCGGCACCGATGTGTGCACGTGCATCTAGAAAAGTCGATACATTAGAGGCGCCCGCCCGTCATCCCAGGGACTTGGGAGGCTGAGGCAGGAGGATCGTAAGTTGGAGGCCAGCCTCAGCAACTTGGCAAGACTCTGTCTCAAAATTTAAAAAAAAATGATAATAGAAATGGCGAAAGGGGGGCGGGGCTGGGGTTGTGGCTCAGCGGTAGAGCACTCACCTAGCACGTGCGAGGCCCTGGGTTCGATCCTCAGCACCACATAAAATAAATAAATAAAATAAAGGTGTTGTGTCCAACTACAGTTAAAAAATTTTTTTTAAAAAAAATGGCTGGGGATGTGGCTCAGCAGTAAAGCATCCCTGGGTTCAATCTATGCTTTTCTGAAAAAAAAAATGATATCTGCACTGAACATGTACAGACTTTTTAAAAAGTCTTTAAGGGTTACTGGAATCAATCTCCTGCAGATACTGAGGAACCACTGTGCAATCTCTCTCTCTCTCTCTCTCTCTCTCTCTCTCTCTCTCTCTCTCTCTCTCTCTCTCTCGGATTAAATCCAAGGACCCTGAACCACTGAGCCACATCCCCAGAGCTTTTCATTTTTCATTTTGAGACAGGTCTCACTAAGTGGCTGAGGCTGGCCTCCAACTTGCGGTCCTCCTGCCTCAGCCTCTCCCAGCCACCAGGGGGCTGACAGGCGTGGGCCAGGGCACCAGGCTGGGCAACATTTTTCTATCCATCATAACTTTCCGTCACTACCTGAAACGAGAAGCCAGCATCTCCCAGGAGGAGAAACCCCCAGCCCCCTGTCTCTGAGCCGCCCTTGAGCTCGAACCCAGCTCTTTCCAATGCCAGACCGAGGGATTCAGGCCACCACGAGGGGCTGGAGTCACAAGTCAGAGCTTCAGGGACCCCCTCGTCCTTCTGCTCCCAGGTGACGCTGCACAAGGACCCCGTGCGGAACGACTTTGGTTTCAGCGTCTCAGACGGCCTCCTGGAGAAGGGGGTCTACGTGCACACGGTGCGCCCCGAAGGACCAGCCCAGCGTGGGGGCCTCCAGCCCTTTGACAGGGTCCTTCAGGTAATGCAGGGGACACTACAGGGGTGGGGGGGCCTTGGGACGGGGGAAGAGCCCACCTCTACACATCTGAGAGAAGCCAATGACGACTGGGTGCGGTGGCCCACGCCTGTCATCCCTGCGACTTGGGAGGCTGAGGCAAGAGGATCCCAAGTTGGAGGCCAGCCTCAGCAACTTAGTGAGACCCTATGCAACTTAGACCCTGTGTCAAAATTAAAAATTAAAAAAAAAAAAGAATAGGGGTGTATCTCAATGGCAAGTCACCCCCAGGTCCTATCCCCAGTGCAAGTAATAATAATAACAAGGTGAATGACAAAGTGAGCTGTATCAGTCAGGTGAGGCTGAGTTATGCTGCAGTAACAAACAACCCCCAGACCTCAGTGCTGAGCATGCACTGGTATTGAACTTCTCTGTATGTCCACTGGGGGGCAGTGTGGCCTTGCTTTCCCGAGGCGGATGGACCCTCCAGCTTGTCTAACTCCTGTGGCCTCCTCAAACTGCAGGACGGAGGAAAGGAGGCTGCCTTCACCCAGAAAGATACCTGTCATGATCCTTCGCAGCCCATGTGACCTGCCTGACAGCCAAGGACACCGGGGAGGGTGGGAGGTCCCCCTGGACCATCCTTTCCCATGCCCAGACATTTTTGTCTCTGGTACTTAATGGACTTAACTTGTGCTTTCTCTCCCTAAATCGATGGGGCTTTTTCAACTTAGTTATTTTGAAAGGAAATTTTTTTGTTGTGGCTTTGGATGGAACCCAGGGGGCACTTAACCACAGAGCCCCGGCCCCAGCCCTTTTTATTTATTTATTTTTTCATTTTGAGACAGGGTCTTGCTAAGTGGCTTAGGGTTTCACTCAGTGGCTGAGGCTGGCCTCCACCTTGGGATCCTCCTGCCTCAGCCTCCCAAGCTGTTTCCTTCCGCTTCCCCTTCCCTGTTGAGCTGACCCCTGGGTCCTGTCACCCGGCTGTGCACTGTGCAGGTCAACCACATCCGCACGCGGGACTTCGATTGCTGCCTGGCAGTGCCACTCCTGGCCGAGGCGGGTGACGTCCTGGAATTGGTCATCAGCCGCAACCCCCTGGCGCAGAGCAAGCGGTCATCGCGAGCGCCAGGCCCCGGCAGTCCCCAGATGCTCTGAAGGTGGCCCTTGATCCAGACACCCCACGGGCCAACGGCGGAGACCCCGTGGGCACCTGCTTGGCCGACCAGGACGGGACCTGGTCTCTGTCCCCAAGTTCCGTGTCAATGGGGGGCACCAGGCAGCGAGGTCCCCGTCCTCCGTTCAGAGTGACATCTGCGTGTTTGCCAAGTTGGTCACCAAGATGCCCCAGGGGAGCCCTTCCCCAAAAGGGTGGGGACAGGAGGAGAGGGGCTGGGGCTTCTCAGGTCCCCGTGGGCCTCCATGGACAGGTGACAGGGATGGGAAAGCCCGAGAATGGGCTACCAGGGGCGCTGAGCTCGCTGTCACAGGAGGTGAGCAGGGACCGTCCCCCAGGACCGTCCCCCGGACTCAGGTGCTTACATTCCCTGGCAGAGGGCCCACGTCACCCAGAGACCGGGCCACCAAGGAGGATGTGTTCAGGGTGGGACTCCTGGGACCCTGTCTCCTGCAGCACCTCTGCTCTGGGGACACCGAGCTGGGGGCGTGGGACCCCAGGAAGCCGGCCCTGAGCCTTTGACTGGAGCCTGTGGGTCTGGGGACCCTGGGGCGGGCACCATCAGGGCTTTGGGTGACCACGACCCATCTCCGTCCCCGAGTCAGTCCAGGCCCCTCTTGGCGGTGATGTCATGTCCCCGGGATCGGTTCCTCTTGGACAGTCTCTGAGTGGACACAGGACCCTCTCCACCTGCCCACCGTCCCCTCCACTTCCCGGTGTCCTGCTCCCTGATGGTCCCCTCTCCAAGGGTCCCTTCCTGCCTCTGGCTGGGGCCACCCAAGCGCCTCTGCCATCTTGGATTCCCGGGTCAACGTCCACCCCAGGGTGAAAGGACTTTGCCCACCTGTCATCAGGGGCACCATGCGAAGGCCCAGAGACCCTGGCTTTGAGGGGTGGGAGATGGCACCGCCAGAGAGAGGTGTCTCTCCGGGCCATCAGCGGGTCCTGCTGTGCAGCCTTGGATGGCTGGCCCACCCTCTCTGGGCCTTCGTGAAGAAACAGGGCTGTAATGGACACACACTCAGGGCTTCTGGGCTTGGGCTTGCCCCTTCGACTCCAGGCCTCCAGGCCACGGAGGACACATCCACTCCGACCTGCACCCCCTGTCCCTTCCTCGGGCTGTGGCCTCCGCCATTTACCCCCCACCCCCCCGACATATGCAATGAGGCCGGGCGGCGTGGCTCTGTGGCCGGGGCCGTGGGACCTTCTCATATGCAATACTTCCCGTGGCTTCTCGTGGGGACGCTCCCCAGCACCCCTCCCCAGTGACCACCCTGCCTGCAGACGCCTTTTGGGAACGGCCCCTGTGACATGTCCCCCCCCTCCCCAAAGCTGTATTTTTCTCTGGCTGAGATTAGAACTTTCCTTGTAAAGTATTTTTCTACTCGAGGTTTCTTAGGGCTCCGGGGAGAGCCCGCCGTGCCAACCAGGACATTGCAAAGGCCACTTGTGGTCTGTGGGGGGCCCATGTGTCAATCTGTGTCCCACCAGGGGTTGCCGTGACGGGCGTGGGGTGGGGGGTCCAGTACCCTTGGGGTGATTTTTTTTTTTAAAGTAAAAATATTTCAAGCCACCGGAGTGGACGGTTTTCTTTTTCCTTAATTTTCTTTATATCTTGGTTGGCGACGGCCAGTGTCCCTACAGACCCAGTGACATCGCACCTGGTTTAAGTTCAAACACTGATATTTTTGTTGTTGTTTGTAGTTTGGGTACCAAGGATGGAACCCCAGGAGGACTTAACCACCGAACTCCCATCCCCAGCCCTTATTTTATTCCTTTTTTAGATACAGGGTCTTGGTATGTTGTTGAGGCTGGCCTCCAACTTGCCATCCTCCTGCCTCAGCCTCCCCAACGTGAATGCATGTTAGCCATACGTTAATACATTTTAAAAACCTGCCATTTACTGGGCATGATGTGGCCCCTGGACATTACAACATCCACAGAGGGACTGAGGGCCTGTCTGCCTACTACAGTGGAGGACGGTGAACCCGTAAGCAAATCATTAAGAATTCAGACCACAGAGGCCGAGGCAGGAGGATCTCAAGTGGGAGTCCATAAGCAACGTCGTGTGAGACCCTGGCTTGAAAATAAAAACTAAAAAGGGCTGGAGGGTGGGCGCGGTGACGCACGCCTGTCATCCCCCCAGCGGCTCTGGAGGCTGAGGCAGGAGGATCCCAAGTTGGAGGCCAGCCTCAGCCACTCAGCAAGAGTCCCTGTCTCTCAATAAAATACAGAAATGGTCCCCCCCCCCCCACCTGGGACGGGATCCTCCACCTGCACTCCACAGTTTTGCAGGGTTGGCCTCAAAAAGCCCTTCACAGAAATTTCTAGAAACCGTCAAGGGCTCGAGCCGCCCAACCCACGGGGAAACGTCCGCTCAGCCCCAACACACCGCACACCAGCTGGGGGCTTTCAAAAAGGAAATGTTTATTGTCGTGTTATAAGGTGATTACAAACTCCTCTACAAAACAGAAAAAGCCAAAGATGGATTTAAAATATCGATATACATATTTATCTAAAAAGCCAAAGAAGAAATGAACACACACACGCACACACGCACATGAGCCCCGCGGATCCCAGGGACCCTCCATCATCAAACATGGACACACAGAAGCTCGTATTCTGCGGGGACAGGGGACGGGGAGGGGGACACACCAAGGATTTTGTTCAAATACAAATATTTCCTCCTCCGAAGAGTCTCCCGTGGATGGATTTCATAGATCTTTGTGGGTTTTTTTTTTAGTCGTATTTTTTTTTTTTACAAAAGTTTAAAATAGCTTAAAAATAGTTTGAAGGTTTTTTTTTTTAATTTTATCTTTTTTTAAAATTTTTTTTTAAAATTTTTATTTTTTAAAAAAGTCCCGATGAGCCAGGACATTTTTTTTTCTGGAAGGAGGCGAACCCCACGTTTATCAGCTTTTGCTTTGTGCTAAATAGAGAGAGTCTTGGGGGTGCGTGAGGGGGAGGGGGCGGGGAGGGGGAGGGGAAGGTTGGGGACCATGACTTGGGGGAAATCAAGGGACAAAAAAATTAAAATGCAGCCACCATCTCGATGGGAAGCCAAATGTCCCACAAGAGACTCCCTCCTCCTCCTCCAGGAAGTCACAACAGGTCAAGAGGGGACACTCAGGGGACCATCGGGGGGTGGGAAAGAGCTTCCTGTGGGGGTCACGGGCGGGCAGGGGGAGGTGGCCCTGGGACTCGGGGACTCTGGATTGTTCTCCAACTTGGTGGCTCCTGGGTTTTCGGTTTGGCCCTGAATCTGTCGGGGGGGGGGGGGGGGACCGCCTGCGTCTGAGGCTTTGAAGGACCCTCTAGGATTGTCCCTTGGGTCCCCTCCTGGCTGAGTCTCGGGAGAAGTTGGGGACTCTCTGCTCCCAGCCTGGTGCCACCACCCAGAGCCATGGCTTTATCAAAGGGGCTCTTGGAGGTGCTCAGGGGACCGCCCAGGGGGGCTCTTGGTGCTGGGCCACCATCTTTGGGGTGCTGGGCGGGGACCAGGGAGTGCCACCTACCCCGGGGCTCCGTTTGGAGCCCTGGAAGTTGTCATTAAATCCTAATTTCTTTTAGGGGGGAGCCGACTGGCCAGCCCGGGCCTTGGCTTGCTCCTGTGCACAGAGGACTCTCAGGTCCCTCTCCCAGGGGTGACCTGCGGGGAAGGAGGTCCCTGGGCAGGGTCAGGGGGGACAGATGGCCTGTCCTGCCCGAGGCCACCTCCCATCTCGCCAGCTGGGGACCAAGAGGGCCCCGGGGGAGGGTCTGAGGTGCTGGGGATGCTTCTCGCCCTGTCCCTGAACCAGGACATCTGCTTCCTCTGTCACCAACGCGTCTTTGGTCGCCAGGGAGAACCTTGGGGAGGGATGGGGACCCGGCTCTGGTCACACTCGCCGGCCGCCGCCTGATCCTCGTGACTCGGGGACCAGGTTTCCCCAGGGACACCGAGGTCACTGCACAGGGGACCCTGGAGAGCCTTGGGGTCAGTCCCAGGGTCTCCGATCCATGAGGCAGCTCCCCGGGGAGGGGGGGTGGGACATTCATCTTGGGGACCCCCCCACCCACTTGTCTGTGCCTTGGTGGCTTCCTGTCCAGATGGGGCAGCCTGGGCACCGGGTGACACTAGATCTAGGTGACACCAGATCTCTGACCTGCCCCAGGCAGGTGGCGGGAGGAAGGTTGGACCCGCCTGTCCCAAGACGGGGACCAGTGGTGAGCTCTAAGGGACAAATTTCACTTCTACAGAGAGAGACGGGAAAGACAGCCGTCGTCACGGGGGACACAGACCAACGCTGTGGCCAGGAGGGGACACGGGGAAGGCAGAGGCCCGGGGCCCCAGGAGCAGCAGTCGGAGACGGGGACCCGGCTTCTGGGTGCGTCTTTGGTCTAGAATTTGGGTCTGCGGGCCACCTCCAGAGTGTCACCACGTTAACGGGGACGTCCTTTCCCCAGGGCACGAGCTCGTGGTGGGAGGGGAAAGGGGGACCGAGAGGACCCCGAAGTCTCAGGTGGCCGCAGCTTCTCAGGGTCCTGCTCCCCGGGGGGGGGGGAGGGGACCCTGCCTTCCCAGAGGGACACAAGGTGAGTTTTCTAGAAAGTTCCAGAAGACGACAGGAAAACGGGGGGGTCACACGGCAACTGGGTAACATCAGCAGGACAAGGACACAGGCCCCACACCACGGGGACCACAGAGACACGGAAAAACAGGGGCAAGGGACCAGCACGGGTGGCTTGGAATGGGATCCGGGGACGTTTGGCAGAGTGTCCCTAAATAGGCCACTTGTCCAAGACCAGAGGGGCAGGAGGGGGACAGGGGAGTCTCCCCCCCTCAGTAAAAATCCCAAATTGGGGCGGCAGGAGGTTTCCAGGGGCCAGCCTCGGGGACAGTCCCCGCCTGGGTGCCTGCGGTCACATTGGGGTGTGGCTGAGAGTGACCACGGTGACGAGGACGGCCCCGTTCAGGTCCAGAGGGGGCACGGGGTGGACCTCTGAAGGGTGTAGCACCTTCCTCCCTGGTTCAGGGGCGAACCTGGCTCTGGGTGTCACTCACGATGACACCAGGTCTTGGGGGTGCCAGCCCCCCCTCCCCCGGGTCCCTGGACGACCCCAACCTGCCAGACCCTCCTTGGGCCGGCACTCAGGAGGATTTGGGGGGTGCCGGGCACCTCCATCCCCACCCCTGAGGCCACTCTGGGCATTTGGGGGCTAGGAGCTGAGGTGGCCCTAGGTGACACTTTAGAGAGAGCTTGACAGGCAGGTCCCAGTTGGGGGTGGAGAGACGAGGGGAGGAAATCCCCGCTCCCCAACTCCAGGCCCCTGAGAACACGCAGGGCCCAGTGCTTTGGTCCATCTGCCTCCCCTCATCCTCAGGGGACACCCAGATCCTGCTGTGACCCCCTTCAAATGCAACAGACCCATCCGCCAGACCCCGGATGCTCTCGAGCCAGCGTGGGGTCTTTGCCCGGAATGTTCCAGAAAGGATCGTGGGTGGCCCATCACCCACCTCTTTCAAGGGCTCTGCCATCTCTCACAGCTCCTGCTTGGACCCTGGACTCGGACAGTCCTACCGATTATCCACCCTCGATCTCAAAATAAAAGATGGGATTTCTTTTTTTTTTTTTTTTAAACCCGGAGCTACAGTTTCTATTGCTCTTTAACTTTTCAAATCCTGCTTCAAGAGTCTCCTTTCTGAGCTCTCGTCCGTCTATTTAACTTGAGGGCCTGGTTCATAGATTTTGGCAGGTTTCCTCTTGGCTAAGAGAAATGTAACGAAGGGTCTCCTCTGGGCCCTGTCTCTTCTGCTCCTCGGGGAGGGGTCTGGCCAGTCACTCTGCTCCGGATGTCGAACCCCTGAACCAGGTTCGGAAAGATACTACACCCTCAAGACGCAGCTCAGGGCTGAAAAATCGTCCTCCACACTTTAGTCTTCCTTGGGGGGTCAGAATTTTCTCCTGGTTCGACCAAGCACCGAAAAATTGCTTTTGGAAAAGAAAACCCAAAAAAACGATCTCTATTGCTGGCAAGAAGGGTCATTCACATGGTCAAAGTGTCCCATGGTCAAGAGTCACATGTTCCAGAAAGAGAAAAAAACAAAGATATCTACAAAGAAAACTTTTCACCCAGTTCCCCTGAAACAGACCTAATTCAGTGGAAAAAGGGGGGTTTCTTCTATTTTTTTTTTTTTTTTTGTACAAAATATCCCAAAATCAGAACAAAATACGCACACCCACGATACACACACACACACACACGCTCACGCACACGTGCACACGCGCACACGCACGGAGTTCACGTTTGACACAAAACACCAACGAGGACGAGGAAGAGATCCCTAGTGCAAAATATAAAGCTCTGTAAACCTGGTCCTAGGAGAATCTAATGTTAGTAAACAGGTGGAAAGCGGCCGCCCCGTCGCCCCCGGGGGGTCTCACATCATGGTCTCCACGATGATGTGAGTCGGTTTCATGAGGGTCCCGTTCAGCGTGATGCGGGAGCTGTAGGGAGCGGCCCCTTCACACTCCACAGCCCAGCGGTTGGGTTCCCTCGGGGTCAGGAGGTACTTGACTCTCTGCAGAAGGAAGACCCGAGGGCTCAGATTCCAGGTCCCCGTCCCCCTCGGCCTCCCCTCCTGACATTTCTTGTGTGTGCTGTGTGGCGTTGGGACAGTTATCACCCTCTCTGGTTTGGGGGAGTTCTGCTGGAGTGGATGGAAGGTTCTTGCTCCCTGATTGGACTTTGGCTCATGTTTCTGGGGATGAGGGGGAGCCACTTGGGAGTGCTCAGAGCAGCAGGTGTCCCCTGTTTGTCCCCAGGCCCAGGATTTCAGATTTTGCCATTTTATTTGTTTTTTGGTACCTGGGATTGAACCCAGGGGCACTTAACCCCTGAGCCCCGTCCCCAGCCCTATTTTGTGTTTTATTGAGAGACAGGGTCTCCCTGAGTGGCTCAGGGCCTCGCTAAGTGGCTGAGGCTGGCCTCCAACTTGCCATCCTCCGGCCTCAGCCTCCCGAGCCTCGAGATTATACTATCTTAAGAACTGACAGGACTTTCAGGATTCTGACTGGATATTGGGGTCCTGTCCTACCTCTGATAAAGACCTGGGGGGGTCTGCCTGGCTCCCTGGTCCCCCCTGACCCCGGGGCTCCTTCTTCTCCCCTCTCCCCTGAACAACTCTCAACCTTTCCCCTTCCAGCCCAGGAGGAAGCTCGAGCCACCCCAGGGGGGGAGCAGGGCCCCAGGACATCCTGGCTCCAGATTTTGAAAAGAGAAAAACAATAAAATTTTTTTAAAAAAACCAGCTCAGAACAAAACCCCGCCCTGGCGCCGACCCAAGCCCAGAGGCTCCAGATTCTGAGAAAGGAATTTCTTGGAAAGAGCCTCGGCCTCTGCCAGCCCCAACCCGCCCCGGGGCCTCCGTATTGTGGGAGGGAGGTCGAGAGGAGGCTGGGGAAGGAAGGGGACCCCCCGGGGGACACGGGCAGACACACAGTCTGCCACCAACAGAGCTGAGACTCAGGCAGAAGTGGCTTCTGGGCCTCCACTGGGCCCCAGGGTAAGGAGAGGTGTCTGGGGGGAACTCGGCTCCTTTCTCCAGAATATTCTGTCCTTGACTCTCACATTCTGGAACCTTCTTCCCCAGCCCCCAGACCTGCCCTCACCAGGACCACAAAGCCCTCCCCCTCTGCACCAACGGGGCTCTGTGCCTCTTTTCCCACAATGCACTCTGCCCACACCCCCATCCAGGGAAGGGTCTAGGACTCAGAGAGGGCTACCGTCTTGCTTAAGGTCACACAGCAAAGAGCCAGCCGGCGGGCCTTGGCCTCCCGCTTCTCCCACCCCAGCACTCACCACGAGGAACGGCCCCTCCGTCTGGCAGAGGCGAATCAGGATGACCAACGGGATGCACATCATGGACGACAGGGCCAGGCCCCAGCCAAACCCGATGGCCCAGTTTGGGTACACGTAGACTTTGTTGTAGGTCAGGGGCACGTACTTGGCGAGAGAAAAGACAAAACATCCCTACAGAGAGAGAAGGGGGCGGTCAGAGGGGGGTCCTGGGCCGCCCCGAGGTGCAGGGGCTTCTGGGACCAGGACGGGCCTCAACCTGAGGGGACGGTCTCTCTCCGAGGGGGCAGAACCCTCTGCTGCCCTGAGAATCTCCTTCCTGTGCCAATCTGACCAAGTCACCTCCCCGAGGGTGACACCATCCCACTACCACCACCAAGTGCAGCCTATGCAACCTCAGGGAGCGAGGGATGAAGAAACTGAGGGTCAGGCTGGGCGCGGTGGGGCACGCTTGTCATCCCAGTGGCTCTGGAGGCTGAGGCAGGAGGATCGCAAGTTGGAGGCCAGCCTCAGCATCTTAGTGAGGCCCTAAGCAACTCAGGGAGACCCTGTCTCTAAATAAAATGCAAAATAGGGCTGGGGACGGGGCTCAGGGGTCAAGGGCCCCTGAGTTCAATTCCTGGTACCAACAACAAAATAAAAAGAATCTGAGGGTCAGAGTGTCAGGCACTGGCCATGAATAAGCATTCAGTGGGGACAAGAACATGCACCGAGATGGACCCAACGCCTCTCTGACGGGGTTTAACTCAGCTGTGATCCATGGTTGCTATGGTTTCTTATTTTTCTGGGGAGAAAAATTGGGGGGTGGGGGGACCCCATCATATTAAATGATAACGGTAATAAAGTTGTCAGCTCCCACCAGAACCACTTCAGAGTGACCTTGTTCCAGAGGTAGGGAAACTGAGGCCCACAGAGGGACCTGGCTGCTTTTGGTCACACAACAAGCTAACAGCAGTGCTGACCCAGCGTGGCCTGGAAGAAGAGGGCCCTTGGTGCTCCAGACGGCGGCCACCTCCAAGATGGCGGCCACCTCCAAGATGGCGGCCCCCCAGGAAGGGCAAGAGTGGCCATGGAGATGTTCCCCAGGTCACTGGTGACTTCAGACAGGGACAGGTCAGCAGCCTTCCCTCCCGAGGATTTCCAGATTGCAGTGAGGACAACCTCTGAGGCAGAACTCATGGGAATGGACCAAGGCCCCTTCCAAGATGGCGGCCCCTTCCAAGATGGCGGCCCCAGGAAGGGCAAGGTGGGCCACCACTGTCCCCACGTCCTGAGGGGCTATGAGGCCTCCTCAACCTTGGGAGAGCCCAGAACATTCCTCTGAGAGGACGTCCTCTCTCAAAGCCACCATCCTCATCCCACCATGGAAACAACATGTCCAGTGTCCATGGAAATTCCAAAGCCTACCACTGGACCTTCACCTCACCGAGCTCACAAGCTCTGGGAGAGTCCGAGGGGAGCTTGGTCCTCCGCTGTCACCTCCACCCACCCTGGCTGCACCCAACCCTTTCAGAACACAGGTGGCTTCCTTGGCCGGGGACGCCCTTCCTGTCCCCTCTGCCCAACAAACTCCTATTCATCCCTCAAAACCCATCTCTGGGAACCCTTCTAGAGCGGCCTCTGTCCCAGAAGCTGAAGGGACGACCCCAGAGACGCAGAGATGTCCCCAACACCCCCCAGAGCCAAGACAGGGCTGTACTCACAACACAGAGAACCGGGGTGATGACAGTCCAGCTGTACTTCATCCAGGGCCCAGGCCGATAGCCAATCATGTCCTCAATACCATCATAAAAGTTGTCACCACCTGCAAAAGACAGTCACACTGGGTGACATAGCACGGTGACCGTGGTGTGACACGCTGGTGACATGTGACATTCTGCCCCGGGGACTGCTGTGGCAGGGGGCTCAAGGAACCATGACCGGGTCTCTGGAATCCAATCCAGGCCTCTGCCTGTCCACTAGACCCTGGAGCAAGTCACTGGACACTGACCCTCGCACCACGAAAGCAGGAACTTCTCTAGGAGGGTTCCCGGAGGGGGGTTTTGAGGGGTGAATAGGAGTTTGTCGGGCAGAGGGAACAGGAAGGGCGTCCCCGGCCGGGGAAGTCCAAACGGAGATCTGTACCTTGAACCCTCACAGCACGGGGATTATCTGGACCGTTATCTGGATAAATGGTATTAAGTTGGACAGAGAAAGAGGGGCGCCTGGGAGAGGAGAGGCCGGGAAGAGGAGGCCTTTCTGTTAATCTCACTGCTCCTGAAGCTTCCCCGCGTAGAGAGGCCCAAAGGAGAGGCTTAGGGAAGAATATGCCGGAATCTCTACTCACCAAATATCCAGGCAATAACAACACATTCAAAGAATGCAACCCACAGAAGGCATACACCACTAGCTGCATAGTAGTCAAAGAGTTGAAACACATACATGCCACCCTGTAAGGAAAAAAAGAACAACACATCCGAGGTTGAGTTCTTGTTTGGGTTCTAATTCCCTTCATATACAAAGAGCTCTGGCAAATCAATAACAACAACAAAAAAATACTCCCAAAGAAAAATAATGGGTGACACAGGATGACCGGGTTAATGTGTATAAAAAGACGTCCAGCTTCACGGTTTGAAGTTTGAACCTTCTTTAACTCGGACACACAGAGACGGAAAGTAGACAAACAACATTGTCGTAGCAAAATAATGGGCCAAAATAATGGCTTCTGAACCAAGTGCAGTTAACACACAGGACTCCAGTCCCACCCAGCTTGAGGAGGGACGCAGGAGGGCAGGCCCGGGGTGATGCTGGGCTTGTGTTGGCTGAGCGCGTTGTCTCTCTGGCTTTCCTCTTGCTAGAGGTGCCGAGGCACGGTGACACACCTGCTCCTGTCACCTCTTGGGCTCTCTCCTCCTTTAATTTTATTTATTTTTGGTTCCAGGGATTGGACCCACTGAGCCCCTGTCCCCAGCCCTTTTTATTTTTTTATTTAGAGACAGGGTCTTGCTAAGTTGCTGAGGCTGGCCTCCAACTTGGGATCCTCCTGCCTCAGCCTCCTGGGTGACGTGCGCCAGCCCTTAAACCTATTTTAAGTTGAGCCCCCTCCTGGCCCCTGGCCACTCTCTGAACCGTGTATCTGCCCCCGTCAGCCAGAAACCCACACGTCCCCCGGACTCAGCCCTGATCGGCCACACGTGTCCGGCAGCCTTGACTGGGGGGTCAGCGGGGACCCTCAGAGTGTGTCCACCTCCCCTCGAGGTGGAGAAGGGCGGAGCAGAGCTGTGGTTAAAGGGATCTCGGTGGACGCTCCCCTTCATCAGACCTCCCAGGCCAGGGAGGGACCCGGGGCAGCGGATGGTCACAGCGTGACCGTGACAACGCACCCCCCAAAAAAAAGTCTGGGTCAACTGCTGGGTCCTGAATCCCCCGTGCTGCCCCTCGTGGCTCAGGGCCCTGGGCAGAGACCAAGGTCCACACCACGTGGGGAGCCCGGCCCTGCCCAGCCCTGCCCATGTGTGGCCGTGGCCAGGGGCAGTCAGCGTACCCCACCTTCCACAGGGACAAGGGGAGTCCCTCGTGCCACACAGGGAGGGCCAGGCACCACCATCCCCATTGTCACCATCATTGTCACCTGTCACCTACCTGCCACCCTCATTGTCACCCACCTCCATCATCATCGTCACCCTCATTGTCACCTACCTCTGTCACCCTTGTCACATCATTGTCACCTACCTCTGTCACCACTGTCACCATCATTGTCACCCATTTCCATCACCATCATCACCCTCATTGTCACCTCTGTCACCATTGTCACCATCACTGTCACCCACCTCTGTTCACCATTGTCACCTACATGTGTCACCATCGTCACCCTCATTGTCACCTGTCACATCATCACCACCATTGTCACCCACCTGTCACCATTGTCACCCTCATTGTCACCGACCTCTGTCACCATTGTCACCATCATTGTCACCCACTTCCATTGTCATTGTCACCCTCATTGTCACCATCACTGTCACCCACCTCCATCACCATTGTCACCCTCATTGTCATCTACCTCTGTCATCAGTGTCACCATCATTGTCACCCACCTTCATCATCATTGTCACCCTCACTGTCACCTACCTCCATCCACCTACCTCCTTCGCCATCGCCACTCTCTGTCACCTCCCTCCGTCGCCCTCACTGTCACCTCCCTCCGTCACCCTCTTGCCACCTACCTCCGTCACCATCGTCAGCCCCAGCAGGTAGCTGATGCCACACACGATGGCGATGAAGATCTCCCGGCGATAACCCTTCCTTAGGAAGGACGGGTAGAGGTCCACCAAGGACGTGATCTGTCCTTCGACTTCGACAAACTGCGGGGACAGGAGCAGCCGTTAGGTGTGAAGGACCACCCTTGTGACCAGAGACAGCTGGGGGGGGGGTCAAGTCCAGGGGCCTTCTGAGCAGGGAACCCTGGGCCGTGTGGGGTCGAGCCACAGGGTCCCCACACGGCGCACCCAGTGTGCCACACGCAGGGGGCCCCTTAGCCAACGTGTGACCGAAACGTGGAGCTCAGCGCTCACTTGCTGGGTGGCTGGGGGCATATCGGGGCTCGATGTCCCCCCGGGAGAACGGAAGTCCATCCCGGTGGATCCGCACACCCAGGTGTGTGAGCGACACGGGGCTCCAGGAATCCACCCCGGGCTCCCAAAGGTGGCAAAGGTGACTTGAGAGGGACCCTCCCTCAGTGACATTCCGGAGCCAGTCTCCCTCTCTCTGTCTCCGTGCAGAACAATTTGTCATGGAGACTGCGCCAGGGGAACTGCCTCATTTTTGAAATGGTGACATTAAACTCCACCTCCTGGACATAGATCATCATTGATCTAACCCAAGTCCCCAACTGACGGTTTCCAGGTTTCTGCTCCTACTCCCCCAGACAGTGACACTTCCTCTCCCCATCTGTCCTCAGACTCAAATGTCCTGTGGCAAGGTCTCAGAAGGGCAATTTGGGGATTAAAGGACCCGCAGAGGCATCTAAATTTCAGGGAGACCCTGTGTCCCCCCTCCCAGGGCTGACATGGCTGGCCTCTGCCAAACCTCCCCCTTCCCCACGTCCCCAAGTTCCCACGGCCATCAGATGCAGAGAAAGGACCCGGGCCTAACGTGGCTTCCCCTGCTCAGTCCCCCGGGGGGGGGGGGGCTGGGGATCCGGGGACTTGGGCTCAACACCACCTGTCCCCTGTGTCTGAGTGACAGGCCATCTGAGCACCGAGCCTCGAGTCCCACGCTCTGCACAGACGGGGTAAGGAGTGACCGCCCTCCCTGGGGCTGGCTTTGAGAGCTTCCTGAGATCCTTAAAGTCACCTGCGGACCTGGGGCCTTCTGAAGAGGGGCCTGTCCCCACCCGTGTCCCCGTGTCCCCGTGTCCCCGTGGGAGGAAAAAAATCTAATGATTAACCGAGGTCTCCTCTGTCCCAGGAAGCAGTTCCTCCAAAGCCCGGGTGGCCTCCTTAGGGCCCGTGGGGATGTCACGCCTCGTCGGTCATTAACCTCGGTGTTTGGCTCTGTCCCCGCCCGCGAGCGGACCTCTGGCAGAGGTTCTAGAAGCTTCGTGCCTGGGGCCTCCAAAGGCCAAACCCATGAACCAGGAATGATTAATGACGTCCCCACTTGCTGACCCAGCTGAGTCCATCAGCCAAGACGGGACACGGGTTTTGGTTTTAGGGTCCCAAGTGTCCTCCTCCTGTCTTTCCCGCTAATCCGGGTCCCCTGTCTGCCGAAGCCTCTGCTGTGTTCTGTTTCTTAATTTTGGGGACCCCGAGGTTGAACTCGGGGTCACTCGGCCACGGAGCCCGGTCCCCAGCCCTGTTTTGTGTTTTATTTAGAGACAGGGTCTCCCTGAGCGGCTTAGGGCCTCGCGGTGGCTGAGGCTGGCCTCCACTTTGCGATCCTCCTGCCTGGGCCTCCCCAGCCCCCCTGGGAGGACAGGCACGTTCAGCCGCACCCTGCTCAGACCCTGGGGGGGGGCTGAAACCAACTGGAAATATCCCCTGAAGGCCGCCAATCAGGTCCCCACCCCAGGGGACAGTCCCACCCCGGTGGCCACGTACCTGACTATCCAGTCCCAGCAAGAGAAGCATAATAAAGAAAAGAATGGACCAAAAGGTGGGGAGCGGCATCATGGTGACAGCTTTGGGGTACGCAATGAAGGCCAAGCCAGGACCTACGAGGGAGAGAGAAAACGGGGAGGGGGGGACACAAGGAAGGGGACACGTCAGTGACCAGGCCGCTCGGCACCCCGGGCCTCACCGCAAAGACTCTCGGATCTGAGGTGGGCCACCCAAACCCAAGACACGGGGAGGAGCCGGGTCTGTCACCTGGGGAGAGACACCAGGCCTGTCTCGCTTGGGGTAGGGGGTGACGCGCCGGGGCATCTGTCTCTTATGCAGCAAAGGGGCCTCCAAGATTGGCCTCCAAGATGGGCCTCCAAGATTGGCCTCCAAGAGGGGCCTCCAAGATTGGCCTCCAAGAGGGGCCTCCAAGATTGGCCTCCAAGAGTGGCCTCCGCAGAGACCCAGAACTGTGCAGACTTGGGGTTGCCAGGGAGCAGGGTTGGAGGCCCAGGGAGTCAGGAGAAGTGGGGGAGGACCCCGCCGCCTCTCCCCAGCCACCTGGGCTGGAAAGTCCCGGTGGTCTGACCACTAGAGGCCTCCTGGTTTGCAAAAGGAAGGTCTCTACACCTCTCTGTGCACTCCCGCAAGGCGCGCTGGGCCACCCAGGGCCCAGCCCCACGGGGACAGGCCCCTCAGGCCCGGGAGACGGATGGCCACATTCAGACGCCCAGCACTTCCTATCTGTATCTCCCCCCAGGACCTCGGAGGGCCACCCCAGGGGCGTCTGTCCAGATGCTCTGAGGCAGAGACCATGTCCCCCCACACACACACACACACAAATAAAGAGCTCTCGGTTTCAAATGAGTGGATTTGGCTGCAGGGGGTGGGCACAGGAGTGTGGTCAGCTCCCCGGTCAGCGTGTTGCTGGAATTATTCTGGAAATAGAAAGGTCTCCTCCTCCTGCCTCTGAAAGGGGGCAAGGAGTGGTTTTTAAAGCAGACATTATGCACCAGATGAATACTTTGAGGATGGGAGGGCCGGGCGCGGGGCACACGACAGTCATCCCCCGGGAGGCTGAGGCAGGAGGATCTCCAGTTCCAAGCCAGCCTCAGCCAAAGCGAGGCCCTGAGCCACTCAGGGAGACCCTGTCTCTGAATAAAACGCAAAATCGGGCTGGGGACGGGGCTCTGTGGTCGAGGGCCCCTGGTTCAATGCCTGGTACCAAAGAAAGTCCCCACTGCAGGGTTAACCACCCCAAAGGTGGCAGAGGAGGGCGGGTCTCTTCAGAAGGAGGAGTCTACTCAGCCAGAGAAACGTTGCTTAGGGTGACCCTAAGTGGCCTAAGGGGCTCCTTTCAAGCCCAAAGGCTACTTGAATGGACCAGAGTGTGGACGGCTGAGAACTGGATTCAGAAAAAAATAGGCTTCCCGCCCAGGACAAGTTTGGAATCGAGGTCAGGGCATCTGCAGCCGGGTCCATCAAGGAGGCCAGAGGAGGGGAGCACCATGGTCCCCCCTAATGCCACAGCAGTGGTCCTGACTGGTTCACATCAAGAGTGAGGAGTTGGGCCGGGGACAGTGGCGCACGCCTGCAATCCCAGTGGCTCGGGAGGCTGAGGCAGGAGGATCTCAAATTAGAGGCCAGCCTCAGCGACTTAGCAACTCAGTGAGATCGTGTCACTAAATAAAATATAAAAAAAGGGCTGGGGAGGGGACTCCGTGATGAGGCACCCCTGGATCCAATCCCTGGTACCAAAAAAAAAAAAAAAAAAAAAAAGAGGAATTTGGTCAAGTCAACCGTGAGAAGATGTAAAATGGGACTCCCTCCCCAGCCTCCTGCCAGGGCCTCCCAAAAGGTGCTCAATTTTTCTCTGTGTCTGGATTTTAATTCTGCTTTTCTCAAGCCAGGCTCTGGGAGAGGGTCCCCAAGTCTTTCTCTAAGAGCTGATGGTGAACTTGGGGGGCAGGGAAGTCCCCTCCCCAGCCAGGCTGTGTCCCCGCCCAGCGCTCCCACCTGGCTACTTAATTATCTCACCTAAATACACTTTGGCTCAATATGGTGCTCGTTAAAAGCTCATTAGAGAAATAATCGCTCTAGAGGTTACCGGCGGCTCCTGGCCATCCCCACGGGGAATGAATGACAAGATGTTTGAAGTGGACACAGTGGAGAGTTCGGAAACGGCTCAGGTTGCCCAGAGACGGGTATGCAAAAGCGCCCGACTGTCCACAGAGAAAGTTCTGGATCAGACACTTCTCTGTGACTTCCACCACACCAAGGTCCAGGCCCTGCCCTGGGCCATGCCCAATCCACCCACAGGACTTTGCAGAAGTCCCCACCATCTATGGGCAAAGGGGGGGGAACGGGGTTCCCTGGGTCCCCCTCAACACTCCCAAATAATGGCCATGGAAATTTCTAGAATCATTTTGGGTGTCCTTGGTCTGTCTCTGGGGACTGTCTCTGAAGGTCTGATTTAGAAGGAGGGAAAGAGAGGCATGTAGGGGGCCGGGAGCTGGATTTTCCAGGTGGTTCTGCAGCTTTGGGAGGGGACGGGGGTGTCCCAAGGATGAGACCTGGCAGGGGACAGGGGACAGGGGACGCCAGGAGGTCGGAGAAGCCCAGGCAAATGCTCACACCTGAAAGGCCAGAGATTGTCACAGGTGTCCCAGGCCCCGATGGGGAGGCAGAAGAGGGACACGGTGTGTGTGTGGGGGTTATCCAGCAGGTGGAGCCTGGGGGTATGGAGGGACTAGGCAAGGGGGGGCCAGGAGACCCCTGTTCTGGCTCTCACCCACCCCCAGAGTGACCGCTGGCCTCCATCTCGGAAATGCCCGGATGTTTAATGCCAAAGTGCCCCCTGGGGCCCCAGATCGGGACACCGCCTTGCATTTCAAATGCATGAGGTTGGAGGAGGTCAAGGTCAAGGGCAAGGTCAAGAGAACAGCCTGCCCCTGGTCTGCCCCTGTATGCTCCAAAGGGACCTTAGTCCAGGACCCTCACCTGGGTCCAGGCGACCCCAGGGCGGTTGTGAGAGACATCAGGAGGTCAGGTGGGGGTCTCAGCGGTGACAACCCCCCCCACCCTTCCAGACAAGGGACAAGGACCCTCCTGAGGGACCCGGGCAGGACCGAGAAGGGCCCAAGAAGCCAGGAAAAGAAGAGTTTGGGGACCTCGGGAGCCTTATCATCTAAAGCCACTGTCGTCTGAAAGTCTCAAGCCCGGGACATCAGCAGCTGTGACCGCGTCCTGGAACCCAGGTCCCTAGAGACTGGGGTTGAGGGTCTACAGTTGGGGCCACGGAAGAGCCCACCATTGCCAGGCGACATGACAGGGTTCCAGGTCCCCCAGGTCCCCGACCCAACAGACGGCTCAGGGTTCGGACACGGAGCATGCATCGTCTGTGACTCCATGTGTCCCCAGGAGGCGGGGGACACTGCGCTTCCCACCTTCCCACGGCCTGGGAGGGGCGCCTTCCACTCCCTCTGGCCCCGCCCTGACGGCCCCCCGGGGATTTGATTGACGGATGGCACCGGGGATTTGATTGACAGATTGACCCGGGAGGGAGCGCATGCGCACTGAGAGCAAAGGGCCAAACACCGACACCCAGGAAGGGGGGAAGGTGGCGATGCCATGATGCCATGGCGACGGGGTGGTTTCTGTCCCTGAAACCGGGAATGGGCTGCAAAAGGGCGGACACACCAGGTCGCAGTCCCCAATGTCACCGCCTCCCCATCGCATTCCTGCCGCCGCCCCCCTCGGGCCAGTTGCAATGACAATTTTGATTTTCCAAGGCCGCTCCTGGGCTCTGTGACAATCCGTGGGGGGACTTCTTGGTTGGGGGGGGGGGGAGGTCTATTTTGGAAATCAGGCTCATTCCCCCCCCCATCCCCCCTGGGGGGGGGTCTGGCTTCATGCCTGCAGTACTCGGCTTAAACACTAGGTGGCAGTGCCCACCACCACTGCCACCAAGGCTACCGTACCTGACTCAGCCACATCAGCAATGTCCACCCCTTGCTCTTGTGCCATGAAGCCCAGGATGGAAAAAATTGCGAAGCCAGACACAAAACTGGTACCACTGTTCAGGCATCCCAGCAGCATACAGTCCCTAAGTTACACATGTCAGGGAGCAAGTTAATTCACCACACATGGAAGCCAAGCTTCCTACTCGTTTTATTTTTTTTCTTTCTTTTCTTTTAAACATCATCATTTCTAGGGTCCACCAGGCCCGCCGGCGCGACACTTGCCTGTACGAGTTGTACTTGTACTTGTTGTAGCTCCCCAGGGAGGTCATCGCCCCCAGGCAGATGGCATAGGAGAAGAAGATTTGGGTCCCAGCGTCGATCCACACCTTGGAAGGGTGACAGGAGGTGGCAGGCAAAGAGAGAGAGAGAAGGGGCTGTCAGTCATCGGTGGCCTGGAGGAGAAGGGGCAGGTGCCTGGCCACCAGGTGATGAGCCTCAGAGGGGACTTTGAGGTATACAGATGAGCTGGGGGGTGGGGAGGCTGAGGCAGGAGGATTGAAAGTTGGAGGCCGGCCTCAGCCTTTTAAGCAACTTAAGCAAGACGGGTCCCCAAATAAAAATAAATAATTTTTAAAAAGGGCTGAGTGGTTAAGTGTTTCCATCCCCAGGAGCAAATAATAATAATGATAAAGAACAGGTCAGTGTCGGAGGCGTGGTTAACCCGCGGGTCCCCGCGGCTCCCACGGTGACGGTGATCGTTAATGGATCACAGGCAAAGCCGTTTTCCAGAACCTTCAACAAGCACCACCTTCTCACTGTCCTTGGAACCTGGCCAACTCCCCGCCTCCCTCCCAGAGCTTAGGAGAAGAGACCTGACCCCCAGTAAGGTGACCAGAGAGCTGAGCTCTGGGGACAAAAGGTCGACCACTGAGCCCACAAGCTTCCTCCTCCCTGGGGGGTGGCTCTCAGGATCTGCCCCTCGACCTCCCAGGAAGCCATTAACTCTGAGGTTTGTGGTCACCCAGGGTGGCCTGCAGCAGCCCCAGCCCTGGGGCAGAAGCCCAGTCCCCCCCACCCCCAGGGCCAGCACTGGTAAGATCTGTCCCTTTCCTGGCCCAGTGCCCAAGGCAGACTCTAGAACTGGCCTCCTAGGGGGTGGGTCCTGGATCAGAGAGGCCCCAGGCAATGCACCCTGTGCACAGCGCCCCAGAGGCGGTGGGGGACACCCGGCCAGAGGTCAGCCCCCCGCCCCAGAGCCCTGGAGAAAAGACCCTAACCCCGGGCAGGAGGAAGGGGACAGCCCGTCGGCCCTGCGTTACCTGCGGATCCTCCAGGCGGGTTATGTCAGGGTACAGGTAGAACTTGATGCCCTCCCCGGCACCGGGCAGGGTCAGCCCGCGGACCAGCAGCACCAATAGCATGGCGAAGGGGAAGGTCGCGGTGAAGTAGACAACCTGCAAGGGGGGACCACAGGGCCGTGAGCATCCCGCACCGTCCTCCCCTCTCCAAGAGGAAGGAAGAAACAGGAAAGCAGAGACTTCTACTAGAGCCAGGCTGTGCAATCTCACGTGCTGTGTGACCTTGGACGAGTTGCTTAACTTCTCTGAACCTGTCGCTTCAACTAAAACCTAAGCATTATACGATTATTATTGTGATCTAAGTCCAGAATATGGTGGGGGACAACGGAGAGCACAAATTCCTCTCTGTCACACACAGAGGGAGAATTTGAGCCGGGCACAGTGGTGGTACACGCCTGTCATCCCAGCAGCTGGGGAGGCTGAGGCAGGAGGATCGGGAGTTGGAGGCCAGCCTCCACAACTTGTCTCTCAATTAAAAAAATTTAAAAAAAGGGGCTGGGGACGGGGCTCCGTGGTGAGGCCCCCCCTGGGTTCAGTCCCCAGGGCCAACTCTGCCACCGGCTCCCTGAATCTCTTTCTTCTTCCAGGGCCTCAGGACCCATCCCCCTCCCCCTCCCCCACCCCCTGACCTTTATTTCTTTTCTTTGAGGCTAAAAATCCTCATAACTTTCCAAGAACGGAGGGGGAGGGCGGGCCAGGAAGCCCCAGAAGAGTCAAGAAAGTCAGCCCGTCTGTCCCTCCCTTCCTGTAGACAGACGGTCAGGAGCCCCTGGCCAGCTCCCACCTCTGGGGGGGCCCCTGGGTGGGCCACACCCCAGTGGGTGAACAATAGCCACAGACAGCAGCTCCGCGGGGTCCCCCCGGGGGCTCCCACTTCAAAGCGGCCGCGGGCTGTGCCCAGAGCCAGTGTCGTGGGGGGCCATTTCCCTTGTTGGGGGGATTTCACGGTTTGTACCTATTAACTCATTTAACTCCCAAAGCAGGTTTGGCAAGAGCTGGGGACCTTGCTACCTGCATCTTCTAGATGGGAACAGAGAGCTCAGGTGTCCCTCATGGGGTCCTGAGTCAGCAGGTGTCGGAGGTGGGGTCTTTCTTTGGGTCTCAGTAAATGGTGGAGGCTGGCCTCCAAACTCCCAGTCCTCCCGCCTCAGCCTCCCGAGAAGATGGAATTCCAGACATGAGCCACTGTGCCCAGCGTTGGAGGTGGTGGGATTTGACTTAGGTCAAAGACTTCCAGGGTCTCTGCATCTTTGGGGGGATGGGGTGTGGTTGCTATTCACCCCCAAAACCCAGCGTGGCCACACGGCTTAGGTGCCTGTAAAGAGAGCCTCCCTTGTTTTGCAGATTTTGCTCCAAGGATGAGCCCCTGAGAGTGTCTCCATATTTCCGTGACTCCCCCGGGATCCTCGAGGGAGAAGCTGGTGCCAGACGCCACCCGCGGGGGCCTCTGGCGGTGGCCCAGCAGGACGCGTGGCAGGACGCGGTACTTTTCCGCTCTGCCTGGTGAAACTCCCTGGTGCCCCTGAGAGCCCTCGGCCCCACAGCCCTGGGGACTCAGAGGGACGGCTTTTCCCTGTTCCCCGGCAGGGACATGCCCGGCTTGAACCCTATTTATTGGCCACTGACAAGCTGTGTGACATTGGGCAAGTATATTAACCTCTCTGGACCCTCCGATTCCTCATGGATAAAAATGGGGCTACTAACGCCCTGCACATCGTGAGGATTATCCGAGCTAAGGAGGTCCACGTGTGCTTTGGGGCATCCGTGACAACAATCACTAGCTGTTGAATGACGTAGGCCACGGCCTCTTCTGGGGTATCTCAGACCCTTGGAGTCATGAGAATCATAAGAATAGAAATGGCCAGTCGGGCGCCGGTGGTGGCTCACACCTGTCATCTCAGCGGCTGGGGAGGCTGAGGCAGGAGGATCAAAAGTTGGAGGCCAGCCTCAGCCAAAGTGAGGCCCTGAGCAACTCAGGGAGGCCCTGTCTCTAAATAAAATGCAAAACTGGGCTGGGGAGGGGGCTCAGGGGTCAAGGGCCCCTGAGTTCAATCCCTGGTGACCCCCCAACCCCCCAAAAAAACAGAAAGTAAGTAAGTGACTTGAGCTGAGGCCTGAGCCTCCCGGGTCTGGGTCTCTCCTGCCATCTACCTCCCCGTCCCTTCCCCAGGGACCCGGGTCACCGTGAAGGCAGGCTTGGCCAGGAAGAGACCCGTCGGCTGCCTGTGGGCCCAGCCCCCAGGGCAGTGACCATGACTTGGTCTCTGGCCAGGGCTGGGAGCCATGGCCGGCCGGCCAGCGGGCGGGCGGGCGGGCGTCCTCTGGGCCACTGAGCTCCAGGAAGTCCCCAGAGCTGTTTGTCTTGGCTGCTCTGGGCTGACCCAGGCCCTGCCATTGTTCTGGGAACCGCGCCCACCCCCAGAGGAGGCCAAGGCTGAGGGTGGGGTGGGGGGAGACCTCGGGTAAGTCACGTCTCCGCACGGCCATGGCTGTGACCTGGCACCCACTGGTTTGGCGTCCATTCTACTCTGCGTGTTGCCCTTTGTCTCACGTGTCTGGTGGACGCCAGCCTCCTCCATCGGCCTGGATGGGACCTACCACAGGGCCTTTGCACTGGCTAGTCCTGTCTCCCTGGGAATTTTCCCCTTTGGTCTCCAAGTCACCTCCTTGTTAAACCTTGCCTCGGGAGGCCGAGACAGGAGGATCGCAAGGTGGAGGCCAGCCTCGGCCATTTAGCGAGGCCCTGAGCAACTCAGTGAGACCCTGTGTCTAAATAAAATATAAAAAGGACTGGGGATAGGGGCTCAGGGGTTGAGCAGCCCTGGGTTCCATCCCTGGTACCAAAAGGAAAGACAGAGAGAGAAATAGGTCTGCAAAAGACCCTTATCAGAGGGGGAGGGCCTAGTGGGAGATGGCAGGTCACTGGGCGTGTGCTCTTGGGGACACTAGGAACCCCGGCTCTTCCTCTCTGACTCTCTGCTCCCCGGCTGCCGTGAGGTATCTGGCCTCCTCCACCAGCCCCACCGTGACATGCCTCGCCACCAGCCCCAGTCACCACCACCTGGAAATTCTGAGCCAAGTTGGACCTCTCCTCCTTTACGTTGGGGGGGAGCACAGGAACCCAGGGCTTCTCGGACCAAACCGTGCATTAGCATCCAAATCCGGGGTGACGCTGCAGGGTGGCCCCTGACCCTGTAGGTCTGGGGCAGGTCCCCAGCCCTCCATCTCCTCCGAACTCCTGGGGACCCCTGATGCTGCCAGTCAGGTCAAAAGCGTCTCAATCTGTCCACCAAGAGCTGGTTATGAGGAACAGAGGTGTTGCAGGGCGCCGTGGCCCACGCCTGTCATCCCTGCACCTCGGGAGGCCGAGGCAGGAGGATCATGAGCTCAAAGCCAGCCTCGGCAACTCAGCAAGTCCCTAAGCAACTCAGCGAGACCCTGTCTCTAAATTTAAAAATTAAAAAGGGGGTGGGGCTGGGGGCTCAGTGGTGAAGCGTCCCTGGGTTCAATCCCTGGTAACAAGAAATAAAAATAAAAATAAAATAACACAGTTGTCAGAGAGGCTTTTCTCTGTTCCCAGCTAATATTACTTACAGCTCTGATATTGATTAACTGCTAACACCTGCATCTATGGCCAACACCTGCATCTACAGGTAACACCTGCATCTATGGCCAACACCTGCATCTACAGGTAACACCTGCATCTACTGCTAACATCTGCATCTACAGGTAACACCTGCATCTACTGCTAACATCTGCATCTACAGGTAACACCTGCATCTACTGCTAACATCTGCATCTACAGGTAACACCTGCATCTACTGCTAACATCTGCATCTACAGGTAACACCTGCATCTACAGGTAACACCTGCATCTACTGCTAACACCTGCATCTACAGGTAACACCTGCATCTACTGCTAACATCTGCATCTACAGGTAACATCTGCATCTACAGGTAACACCTGCATCTACAGGTGACATCTGCATCTACAGGTAACACCTGCATCTACAGGTGACATCTGCATCTACGGCCAACACCTGCGTCTACTGCTAACACCTTGAGATGGGGAAGCAGCCGCCGTTGGGTTAGTCAGAGAGACCCATCATCCCACCTCCAGGGATCTTGCCGGCTGGTCCCCAGACCACTGACCACTTGGAGCCAGACCCTAAGACTGGACTTTATCTCCTTCTTCTAGGGGACGGGTTCGCCCCGCGGCCACGCTGGCCTCTTTCCTTTCCAGGTCAGGGAGGCCCAGAGGGCGGGGAGGAGGCAGGGGAGGGTCGGGACGGCCACTTACCTTCCCCGTGGACCTGACGCCCTTCCAGATGCAGAAGAAACAGACCAGCCACACCAGCAGGAGGCACAGCGCCAGGTCCCACTTGAGGGTGCCCGGCTCGTCGATCCCCGAGGACAAGCTCAGCACGTTGCGCCTTGGGGCAAACAGAGCAGGGAGTCAGCGGGGACCCGGGGTCTAGCATCCCCGAGGCCCGGGCCAGGGTGCAAACCCCGGGACAGAGTTGTTGGGACGTCTGGAAGGGGCCAGAAGGAGGGTCAAGGGCCCTGGGGTCCATAATCCTTAGGCAAACCCAGGTTCAACCCGGCCTGGCTTGGGGCAGGTCAGGAAACCCCTGAGCCTCAGTTTCCTCATCTGACAAATGGGTACTGACTTTTCTATAGGACCTCGGTGAAATACTCAGCTTCACCTGGCCGCCTGTGATCCCGGCAGCTCGGGAGGCTGAGGCAGGAGGATCGCAAGGTGGAGGCCAGCCTCAACACTTAGCGAGGCCCTAAGCAACTCAGTGAGACCCTGTCTCTAAATAAAATGTAAAAAGGGGCTGGGGACGGGGCTCTGTGGTGATGCACCCCGGGTTCAATCCCTGGTACCAAAAGTAAAATAAAATAAAATCTTAGCTTCATTGCTCAGGAGGATGTTGGACAAGTGACCCGGCCTCCCCAGACCAGCCTCCCGTCCCTAAGGTGAGGCAGATACTCCCTGCCCCCCCATGTCCTTTGGTCCCTCCCTATTTTATCGGCCCCACCCCCTTGTTATCCGGATCTCCGTAAAATGTGCGGCCTCGCGGAGGCAGAGCCTCCTCCAGGCTAGAGCCTCCTTGAGGCAGAGCCTCCTCTCTGTGCGCTCTCTTTGGAGAAGCTTTGGAAGGACTTTGCAGAGTCACTTTTCAGGTGACTCCATGGCCCTCATCACCAGTGACCGCTGGTGGCCTTTAGATGCCCAGAGCCCCGCCCCCTGCCCAGTCTCAGGCAGCCTCCACTCCCTGGAGGTCCTCCCTGGAGGTCCGCGAGGCCCGAGCTGAAGGCCGCGCTGTGCCGTGTCCGCTGGTGTGTGAGGACCCACGCGCAGCTCCGGGCCCTGCGGGGCCAGATACCATCAGGAACCCGGGGGCCAGGCGCTGACCCTCGGCCAAGTCCAGGAAACACCATGCGCCCACAGGACACTCATTGTCCCCAAGCGCGCAGTGCCCGGTCAGTGATCAAGAGGAGTCTCCCAGCCTCCGCCCACCGTGTGCCCAGGTAATCTGCCTCCTCATCTCCGCCGTCCCCACCTCCAGGGCAAGGGCCAGGGCGAGGGCCAGGCCCGGAAGAGGCTGCTTCTCCTTTTCAAAGCACCAGCTTCTGTCCGAAGGCTCTGCGCCCCAGGAGTGGAGGGACTTTGTCCCTTGTTTGACCTTTTATAAAATAGAACCAAGGGCTCCTCCGGTCCTGCAGGGCGCCCAGGGCGCGGGGGTGCACGCCTGTAATCCCAGCCATTCTGGAGGCTGAGGGCGGAGGATCCCAAGGGGGAGGCCAGCCTCCAAACTTCATGAGGTTCTGTCTCAAAATAGTAGAGGAAAGGCTGCGGGGTGTAGCTCAGTGGCCGTGCACCCTGGGTGTGATCACCCCAAAAAAACCAAAATAATAATAAAGCTGCCAGGATGCCGGTGTCTTACCAAGACCCTTTTTGTTAAAAAAAAAAAAAAAAGGAATTATTTAAATCTTATTTGATCCAGCCCCATTTTACATATGAGGAAAACTGAGGCCTGAAAAATCCACTTCTGCACGTTCACAAAGCCTTCAGGCAGCTGGAAGAGCGGTCACTCAACCCCAGATCTGTCCAGCTACAAAGTCAGGTCCCTGCCCCCAGCCCCACCCCCACCCCTGCCAGGGGCCGTGCGCTCTCTCTCTCTCTCTCTCTCTCTCTCTCTCTCTCTCTCTCTTTGGCACCAGGGATGGGACCCAGGGGTGCTTAACCCCCTAACCACCTCCCCAGCCCTGTTTATATTTTAGGACAGGGTCTCCCTAAAGTTTCCCAGAGTCTCCCTACGTGGCTGAGGCTGGCCTCCGACTTGCGATCCTCCTGCCTCGGCCTCCCCTGTCTCGGGGACGACGGGTGGGTGAAGTCAGGTTCTCAGCTCCGCCACACCATCCACCATCGGTTAATGTAAAAGGACATGGAGTCTGGAGTTTCCAAAGGATTTCTTCACTTCTCTGCTACATGCCAGGGTCACTGGGGGCCTCAGGGTGACCTGAGGCTGTCAACCAGTTGCACCCCCACCCGGGGCCCTGGCAAGGGCAGGGCTGTGGAGCCCCCCCCACAGAATAAAATGCCCTTCCCACTGAGCGTCCAGCCGCTGGGCCCTCGTGAAAGCCCAGGGCCTGCTGGGAAGTGACCCACGGCATCCTTGAGAGGGGAGGGACACCTTCCTGCCTCCACACGCCAGCCTCTGTCCTCTGTGTCCTCTCTGAAGCCAGCCAGGGCCCCCCCTCTCTGGGCCCCCCCGTACAGTCCCTCTGTTCTTCCTTCAGCACAATGTCCACCTTGCCCACCAGGCTCTGGACATCCCAAGGACAAGGTGGCACCGCCTGTCATCCCAGAGGGTTGGGAGGCTGAGGCAGGAGGATCGCAGGGTCAAGGCCAGCCTCAACAACTTAGCGAGATGCTAAGCGACTCAGGGAGACCCCATGTCTAAGATTAAAAAAATAAAAAGGGCTGGGGACATGGCTCCATGGTAAAGTGACCCTGGGTTCAATCCCAGTGCCCCCCCAAAAAAAAAATTAAAAAAAGAAATTGATGCCACTCACTGCTGTCCCCTAAGCACCTTCTGACTGCCCCAGACACCCACACTGCCACCAATCCTGTCCCCAATTGCACCACAGGACTTTTAAACAGCCTCCTCACTGGACTCCCTGCCTCCACTCTGGCCCCTTCAGTCAGAGGGAATCCCAGCAGGACCCAGGCTGCCTCTGGCCTCTGCCCCTCAGCCTCCCATGGCTACCACCCCGTCCCCTAAACCTTTAGACCTAAAGGGGTTCTTTTTTCCCGGATGTGGGTACCAGGGATTGAACCCAGGGGCATCGACCACGGAGCCCCATCCCCGGCCCTTTTTATATTTTATTTAGAGACCAGGCCTTGCCAAGTGGCCGAGGCTGGCCTCCAACTTGTTATCCTCCTGCCTCAGCCTCCAGAGCCTGTGAAATTCTAGGCACGTGCCACCTTGCTTGGCAGACCTAAAGGTTTTAAAGAGCTTGGGGACGACCTACTGCAACTGCCTGGACAATGTGTGTTCCCAGGAAGCACCTGTCAATCATTCAACAACACCTTGCACAAAGCAGGTGCTCAATTAATGCAACGAGCGCGGAGTACACAGATGACACCCATTTCCTTGATGGGAAAACTGAGGCTCAGCCATTCACCTAAAATCCCCGAGACAGACATCAACCCTGGACACCTGGGTCCTTTTTCCTGGTGTTCCCCCCACCTGGGGTCCAGCCACCCTGCGGGACCTACGGCAGCCATCAGCCGGGCCTCTCAGCCTTCCCTGACTCTCTGGCCTCGAGGGAGGAGACCCAGAGTCCGCGACATTATTATCCAAGAATAGTCGTGATTCATTCCAGGGTGGGATCCAAGAACTGGAATAATGACCGGGCTCCCGGCTGCCGTCCAGAGATGTCAATACGTCCTCGAGTGGGACCAATGGCTTCCTCTTGACCGCAGGCCAGCTGTTTCTTGGCCACGGCTGTCCCCTGGGGACTGGCATGGGGCAACAATTATAAAAGGGCCCGTCCGCCCCGCGCTCGGGGCCGCACAAGCCTCCCCCGGCCTCTCCCCCGGCCTCCGCCTCCTTCCAACAGCTGCCGAGGAAGATTGGGGGCTGTTTGGAAACATGACTCATGTGGCTTTGATTCTAATAAAGACTAATGAGACGTGCGGGCTCCCGGGAGGCCCCCGAGGGAGCCCAGGGGGAAGGCCGGCCTCCGCCTGCTGAAGGGCATGGGGCCAGGCCGGGCCTCCCGCCTGTCCTCCACAACCTGAGCCGGGGAGGGAGACCTCGGGACAAAGGGGACCCCAGATGGCAAGGCTCAGAGAGAGATGGGCTGGCTTGGGCCAAGACTCGGTGTTCAATTATAAAGCCAATCCCAGGGGCCCTGGTGGCTTCTTCTGGGAATATAGAAAAGGGGGACATCTCCTGGCTTGGGTGGCCCCTGCCTGGAATTCCAGCCGCTGGGGAGGCTGAGGCAGGAGGATCGCGAGTTGGAGGCCGAGACTCGGCAACTTGGTGAGACCCTGACTCCACGTAAAATACAGAAAGGGCTGGGGATGGGGCTCGGGGGTGAAGGGCCCCTGGGTTCCGTCTCCAGGACACCACAGAGTCTGGGGTACGTGACGTCCAACGGTACTTTGCATTTTTCTAGTGGGTTCCGAGGGCTGGGAACCAGTCAGGGCCACCCTACAGCCTTGGGGTGGCAGAGGAGGACATCAGGGACCTGAGAGGGGGTTGGACTGACCAAGCTAGATATGGCAGAGCGAAGGCTAGACCCCAGGTGCACAGGCTAGACCCCAGGTGCGCAGGCTAGACCCCTGATGCACAGGCTAGACCCCAGGTGCACGGGCTAGATCCCAGGTGCACGGGCTAGACCCCAGGTGCATGGGCTAGACCCCAGGTGCGTGGGCTAGAACCCAGGTGCACGGGCTAGACCCCAGGTGCACGGGCTGGACCCCAGGTGCACGGGCTAGACCCCAGGTGCGCGGGCTAGAACCCAGGTGTGCAGGCTAGACCCCAGGTGCGCGGGCTAGACCCCAGGTGTGCAGGCTAGACCCCAGGTGTGCAGGCTAGACTCCAGGTGCGCGGGCTGGACCCCAGGTGCCCAGGCTAGACCCCAGGTGCGCAGGCTAGATCCCAGGTGCGCAGGCTGGACCCCAGGTGCACAGGCTAGACCCCAGGTGCGCGGGCTAGACCCCAGGTGTGCAGGCTAGACCCCAGGTGTGCAGGCTAGACTCCAGGTGCGCGGGCTGGACCCCAGGTGCCCAGGCTAGACCCCAGGTGCGCAGGCTAGATCCCAGGTGCGCAGGCTGGACCCCAGGTGCACAGGCTAGACCCCAGGTGTGCAGGCTAGACCCCAGGTGCACAGGCTAGACCCCCGGTCATGCTGGCAACGAGGCCCAGTAGGCTGGCAGAGATACTGGTGCCCCGGGTGGGGCAGGCCTGTGTGGTCAGGCTGTGCCAAGAACAGCACAGAAAGGTCAAGGCGGTGGCCTTGGGCCCCATTCAAGTGACAGAATGAGATGCCAACATTTCTTTGTCTAGCAGCTCCGCTCCCCAATGGGTGGGGAGCTGAGGGGGCGATGCATGTGCTTTTAATGTCTTCTTTGTTTGCAGGGGACCATGTATATGCATGAGGAGTCCCTCTGAGAAGCCTGGGGACCTGCATTCTTCTCTGTGCAAATAACAGAGAACATCTATATTTTTTTTCCTAACAGCTCCCTACAGTGATGGACGACGTTGTGGTTCACTGCAAAAGTACCCCTAGATCTCTACCCTCACGAGCAGGCGGGTTTTATTCCCCCGTACTTCTCCGTCTGGGGTTGTCTTTGGCTTCCTCTGGTCAACGGGACATGAACACAAATGACGCCTGAGCAGAGATTGAAAAAGAGCTTATGCACGGAGGGTCACCCGTCTGTTGTCTCCGGAGCTACCCGTGACAAGCCCCTAGCCAGCCAATGCCCAAGCGCTACCCCGAGGACCCACAACGGTCTGCAGACACAGGAAGCAGCCCAAGACTCGGAGGGCTTGGCGCAAACTGCCGACAAACAGAATCATGGTAAATGGTGACTGTGAATTCACCAAATTTGGGGATGGTTGTTACGCAGCAAAAGCTAACTGCTAACTGATACACAATTTTTCCCACTTGATCTATGCGCCTTTCACTGGAGTAACTACCTCAGCTTCATATAGACATTTTTTTTCTCTGTTCAAGGACAGAGAATGTATTTTTTTTTCTAAAATGTACTAAGAAATCGTGAAGAAACTGAGGCTCAGAGAGGAGAAAGGGGGACTTGCCCAGATCAACGGGCCAGGAAGTGGCAGAACCGAGATTCGATACCAGCCCTGGGCAAATATGGACCCTCTCCCCGTCCCACCCCCGACCCTCGAAGACCGCGACTCCCCAGGGAGGACGAGGGGTGGCCCGCGCCCTCCGCCCGCCCCAGCCCCCTGCCCGCAGCGAGGCCAGTCTTACTCCCAGAACTCGATGACGGGGGACGTGTAGTTGTGGGTGCTGATGGTGACCCACAGGCTCTTGTTCTTGCGCAGCGTGTCCTCCAGACAGTGGGGCGTGTTCCAGCTGTGGTTGCAGTGGGCCCAGGGCAGGTCCTTCTGGAAGGAGTGGAACAGGTAGTAGGTGGCCCAGGCCAGGATGATGATGTAGTAGACGTTGAGGAGGGAGACGATCACGACGGACGCGTAGCCGATACCTGGGGGGCGGGGGGGGCAAGGAGCGCCATGAGCATCAGCAAGGGGGCCACCAGGACCGCCCGCTCCACAGGACAGGGCCAGAGGGGACTCTTCAGCAGAGACCAGCATCGAAGGAAGATGGATGGATGGAGGGATGGACGGACGGATGATTAGACAGATGGATGGATGGACAATTGGATGGACGGATGGACGGACGGACGGATGGATGGATGGACGGATGGAGATGGATGGATGGATGGACAGACAGATGGAGATGGATGGATGGACAGACGGACAGGTGGATGGATGAATGATTAGATGGATAGGTAGATGGATGATTGGATGAATGGATGGATGGATGGGTGGATGGATGGACAGACGGACAGACGGATGGACAATTGGATGGAAGGATGGACAGACGGACAGATGGATGGACAATTGGATGGAAGGATGGACAGACGGACAGATGGATGGACAATTGGATGGATGGATGGACAGACGGACAGACGGATGGACAATTGGATGGATGGACAGACGGACAGATGGACAGATGGATGGATGGATGGACGATTGGATGAATGGATGGATGGACGATTGGATGGACGGACAGATTGATGGATGGACGATTGGATGGATGATTGGTTGGATGGATGATGGATGGACGGACAGACAGACGGATGGATGGACAATTGGATGGACGGACGGATGAATGGATGGACGATTGGATGGATGGGTGGATGGATGGATGGATGGACGGACGGATGGATGGAAGGGTGGATGGATGGACGGATGGCGGATGGTGGAAGGTGGATGAAGACCCACTAAGTGCACCGAGCACCCAGGCGTGGTATGAGGGCCCACATGGTGGTTGGTTGGAGGGTCGGCCAGGGCAGTGGTGAGCTGAATGGTGGACAGGTAGATGAATGCAAACTGAATGCCTCACCGCATTAGTGAATCATTGATCATCTACTGATCAGTATTATTATTGGTTATTGGATCATTGGTTCATGGCACACAGGATGCTAGAATAGACGTCTACGGGTGGCTGGGCACGTCACCATCCTGCCCGGTGCCCGTCGGTCCTGACTGGTTCTTCTGAGAACCCCCCGGGGGCTGAGCACGGTGCCCGGGCTCCCGTCTACACGGCGCCTCCTGGGAACACAGAGCCCCTGGAGGGGCCACGCCATCTTCTCTTCCTAGCAGCTGGCCCGTGTCCCCTCCCCTCTCCCCGAGGCCTCAGGGGCCACAGCAGGAGCACCCCCATCTGCTGTCCCGACTGGCTCCTTCCAGGCACAAGCACGTCCAATGGACCTGGGGCATAGTAGCTGCTCAATAAAATCCAGCCCAGCACAGGGACCCCCTGCACTCACCGGAAAACAGGGGGCAGATCTTCTCCCAGCAGGTGATGCCCCCTTCCGAGGTGTACTGGCCTATGATGACCTCCAGGAAAAACACGGGCAGGCCACTCCCAAACAGGAAAATGAAATACGGAATTAGAAATGCACCTGTAAGGGGGCAGGCAGAAGTGACCGAGCGTTAAGGCTGTGGCTGTGACAGTGACCGGCACCCCGAGGTGCTCCCTCCCGACCCCTCCCAGCCACCAGAATCTGAGAGAGAGAGAGAATGAGTGACGGGGGGCAGGGGGGCAGGAGGGACAAGGGCCAGACTCTCCAACGTGTCCCCCCCCACCCCAGCCATCTCCAAATCGGCACCCGGTCCTCGGAGCCACAGGGCCTTTGCTTGAGCTGCACCTACGGGCTTGCCTGCCTTAGTGGGGACTGTTCCACCTGCAACACCCTCTCCGACACCTGCCATGCCCAGGCCTGCCCAGATGGAAAGATCTAGAAGGAGAAACCCAAGGGTGGCTTCTTCTCCAGCTGGTGGGGGGGGCAGGGGGTGGGGGGGGGTGCCAGGGAACGGAGGCGGGGCACAGCTGGGGGACAGGGGTCCTACCTGCGTCACTAATGGCTTCAGCGGGTTCCATAAACCCTTTGAAACTGTGGGCAACTTGGGTCTAGGGTGGGTGCTTGGTTCTGAGGAGCGTCTGGGGCCCTCATCAGAGTCCCCCAGGGGCCTGAGACCTACGAAAGGTTAAGAAACCAGGCTCTAAGGGAAAAGTCCCCCAAAGGGTGGCTTCCTAAGCACAGGTGGCGCGGGGCCAGGCTTGAGCAAACTCCAGCCTACCCAAGCTCTCTCCAAGTCCCTAAAACCTCGGGGCCGGGGGGTGGCCACTGGACATTGGCACCTCCGAGGACTCTCGCGGAGAGCCCTCGGCAGGCAGGATGAAAACAAAACAAAACAAAAAACACCCCAACAACATGGCCCACGCCTGGCAACCCAGCGGCTCGGGAGGCCGAGGCAGGAGGATCGCGAGTGGGAGGCCAGCCTCAGCCAAAGCGAGGCACTAAGCAACTCAGTGAGACCCTGTCTCTCAATAAAATGCAAAATAGGGCTGGGGACAGGGCTCAGTGGCCGAGTGTCCCCAAGTTCCATCCCCGGTACCCCCTTCCCCCAAAAAAATCATGTCAAGGAGAGAGAAAGTGGGGAGCCATAAATCCAGGGGGGTTTACAAAGGGCAAGTGTGAATCTCTGACCTTATTCCACCTTTTCAGAGACTAGAGGATCAGAGAGGGTGTGAGGCACCTCAAGGTAACACAGCAAGACTCGGGACAGAACCCGGCCACCCTGATTCTCAGTCGTGCTCATCTCCTGTCTCTGTGGTGAGCTGGGGTCAGGGGGTGGGACAGGGTGACCCGGGGGAGGAAGATCAGGGTGCAGAGAGAAGGCACCCCGACCCTCGGGCGGCGGCCTTCACGCCTCCCCTTTGGTCAACTCCCACCCTGGACTCACCTCCACCATTTTTATAGCAGAGGTACGGGAATCGCCACACGTTGCCCAAGCCCACGAAGCCACCAGCGACAGACAGCACAAAGTCGATCTTGCTGGCCCACTTCTCCCGCTGCGGGGGCTTGCCCTCGGCCTCGTCCTCGGGCCGGGTGCCGGGGCTTTTCCCGGGAGACGGCTTCAAGATATCCTTGTGGAAGTCCTTCAGACACTGCAACTTCTCTTTGGTGGCCATCGGATCACTTTCTAGGCAGGGGACACAACGGGACCAAAAGGTGAGGCCGATGAGGTGGCCCCTGGGTGTCGCCCCTGGACGGCCTGATGCTCATTTTGGAGGCTGAGGCAGGAGGATCGAAAGGTGGAGGCCAGCCTCAGCCAAAGCCAGGCCCTGAGCCACTCAGCGAGACCCTGTCTCTAAATAAAATGCAAAAATAGGGCTGGGGACGGGGCTCAGGGGTGGGGTGTCCCCTGGGTTCCATCCTCAGTACCCAAAGCATAAAATATAGTCACCCCTGGGGACAAGAGGAGCCCGTCCTGGGGTGTCCCTGGCAGGCGCACAGTAGGGCATCGGGCAGCGCCATGGGGTCAGCGGTTCCCAGGTATCTGCAGGTCGCCCGGTGCTCGGAGCAGAAGACCCCAGCTCTGGGGGTGACGCAGCAGGCCGGGGGGGGGTGGCCCGAGGACCTGGGGCTTGGACGTGAGGCCCGGCCCCAGGCGACACCAGGAGCCAGCGAGACCCACCTCTTCCTGTCCCTGGCTGGGGTGGGGGACCCCGATTGTTTCTGGCGACAGGCAGACCCACAAGGCTTCCTGCAGCCCCGGGCAGCCCACCGGGCCCTTCCTCCGTCTGCTGGGGCATCCGCAAGGCCTTTCTGTGCCCTGTCCCTCAGGGGCCCGGTGGGGCCAGGCCACTGTAAAAATAGCCCCAATGGCCACTATTGTTCCAGCCGGGCCTGCGGCGCCCGATGGTTATCAGGGCCGGCTGGGTGGGCCCATAATGGGAGGATGTCTGGGCCTCCCTCCCTCCCTCCCGGGGACAGTGTGGCTCAGGGAGCGGCCTCCTGGGGAGCCTCCTTACCCAAAAGGCCACGTCCACCCTTTTTAGTGGGGGGGATTGAACTCAGAGATTGCACTTGACCCCTGAGCCCTGTCCCCAGCCCTGTTTTGCATCTTATTTAGAGACAGGGCCTCCCTGAGCGGCTCAGGGCCTCGCTTTGGCTGAGGCTGGCCTCCAACTCACGATCCTCCTGCCTCAGCCTCCCCAGCCGCTGGGATGACAGGCGTGGGCCCCCGTGCCGGGCAAAGGCTGGTTCCCCCCAGGAGCCAGGGCTGGTGGCTGGTGGGGACCCCGAGAGTCCTCCCTCCATCTCTGGGCTGCAGGACTTAACTTCTCACACCGGCAGAGAACCTTCTAGAAACTTGGGGGAGAGTGGTAACTGGAATTCCCCGAGCCCCTTGGGTTCCCTGTGGTTTCCTGTGGAACCAGGATTCTAGTTCTTTCCATGGTCGGGCTGCCTGGGGCTGAACGGGGGGTGGGGGGGGGTTGAAGGGACAGGGCAGGTGGCTGTCACCTGCCGGGCTCTGTGGGGTCCACCCTGCTCCTGGGGATGGATCCCACTGCCATCTGCAACCAAGAGCTCAAGGACCCTGCTTCTGCGCCCCCCCCACAAGGGTCCTTCAAATGCAGACGAAGGAGGCTCATTCAGGAGGTTAATTTAGAGGCCCCTGGAGGCCCCAGCCTTCCAAGGACACCCGCTGACAGCTTCTGCGTGTTCCTGGCGCCCAACCCGGGTTGCCATGGCGACCACCCAGCTCCCCACAGCTCCCTACCCCACCCCCCATCTGTCCTCCACCACCTCAACCAACCACAGCAGAGCCAGATCCCTCCCGCGGCCCCTGGGGCCCCAACTTCCTCCTCCCTTTGTCCCTGGGACACTGGCTTGTCCCCTTAAGGAATCCCAGAGTGTCAGCCTTTGATCCCAAAGCCGGGAGCTCTTTCCCCCGGCTGGGTGACCTCAGGCAAGTGAGTCAACCTCTCTGGTCAAGGACTGCTCTAATCTTTACCAGGCCCTCCCTTCCCCAAGCCCAGAGCGTGGAAAGGCTTCTTCGTGCCACTCTGGGTGACATCAGCAAGCTCCAGATGCTCTGAGGTCACTGAGCTGAGCTGGTAGTGCAAGGACACCCAGGCCTTCCCTGTCCCTCTCGGATGGCCCGGCTTGACCTCACATGACACCCTGGCTGCCGGGCCTCCACCCATCTCTTATGGATTCCCAATGAGGCCACTCTCCGGGACACTCCAGCAAGGGCACCACACGGGGCCGTGAGTGTCCGGCCACGGGCATGGGTCCCCTCTGCCGGCGTCCGACGGTCGATTTTCCTGCCAACATGAGCTGTTTTTCCTGGCCCCGAGCCCAGGGTGATTTTGTAGCGGCCGAGATACATAATTCCCCATTTTAAGAGCTTCCTCTTTGGTTTTGACAGCCACAAGCCATCGGAGTGGCCCTGACCCAGGCTCTCTGGGAGGACGCCTCCCACTCGGCCCGACTCAGAACCCTCCCCGTGTCTCTGTTCCAGGGATGGCGGCCAGATCCAGCCGTGCCTGAAGGCCACTTGCCAGCAGATCACCTGGTCAAGCTCTAGCCAGATGCTACCCAGGGCCGGCCACACCGTGGGTTTGCAAAATAGTCCTTTGGTCCCCAAATTGTTAACCAGCATCAGACAGTCGAGTAGCCACTCTGGGCCAAAAGCTGCTTGTAAAGACAGTTTCCGGAGTCATCCCCAAATATTCTTGTGTTAAAAGCATCGGGGAGCTGAGTGCCGGGGCCCACGCCTGTCATCCCAGCGGCTCAGGAGGCTGAGGCAGGAGGATCGCGAGTTCAAAGCCAGCCTCAGCCAAAGGGAGGCCCTAAGCAACTCAGGGAGACCCTGTCTCTAAATAAACCACAAATTAGGGCTGGGGAGGGGGCTCAGGGGTCCAGGGCCCCTGAGTTCAATCCCTGGTACCCCCCATCCCCCCCAAAATAGCAAGACGCCTGTAGGTCGTTAGCTCGTGGCCTGATGATACATAAATACATATTAGATACCACTGAAGAAGGTAGCGCGCCACAGTGGGGTTTTGGGACAATGTGGGGCAGGCATTGAACTCTGTTTAACTTAAAAAAAGTAATAAGGAAGTGGGGGACCAGAGAGGTCCTCAAAGGACACAAAGTTTCAGTTTTCCACAAATAAACTCCAGATCCCGAACATGATAGTTACTAACAATATGTTGCAGACAGAAGTCAGCGGCAGGCCCGGTGTAGGGCACAGGCCTGCGGTTCCAGCAGCTCAGGAGGCTGAGGCAGGAGGATCGCAAGTTGGAGGCCAGCCTCAGCCACTTAGCCAGGCCCTAAGCCACTCAGGGAGACCCTGTCTCTAAATAAAATCTAAAAAAGGCTGGGGATGGGGCTCAGGGGTTGAGCGCTTCAGGCCACAGACCAGATGACAAATTAGGGAACTGGGTTCAAGGGCAAATAGGGAAGTGAAGGGCCCCGTGACCTGACGGGGAGATCAGGGGGGCGAGGTACATGATCAAGGAGGAGGCCAACTGGGGCCCGTCCCCAATGTCTGCCGCCGGACCCTCCCCAGGTTCCAGTCCCTGGCCCCAGTTAAGCGTCTAACAGGCGCCAATCAGTGAATACGCTGAGCCGCGTCAGGAGGGACCTTTTAAGAGCCCAGTGTGGGGGGGTGCAGTCCTGCCATCCCAGCCCCTGGAGGCTGAGGCAGGAGGATCCAAAGTTCAAAGCCAGCCTCAGCCATTTAGCAGACACCCTGTCTCCAAATAAAATCATAATAAGGGCTCGGGGGTAGAAAGCCACTGGATTCAATCCTAAAATTTATTATTTAAAAAAAGAGACGGGGGGGGGGAGGCACGGTGACGACATCTGTCATCCCAGAGGCTCGGGAGGCTGAGGCAGGAGGATCGCAAGTGGAGGCCAGCCTCAGCCAAAGCGAGGCCCTGAGCCACTCAGGGAGACCCTGTCTCTAAATAAGATGCAAAATAGGGCTGGGGACAGGGCTCAGGGGTTGAGTGTCCCTGAGTTCAATGCCCGGTACCAAAAAAAAGAAAGATTTAATCATTGAGTGGAATCATGCGGTCAGTAGCCTTTGGTGATCTATTTCTGGGCAAAGGCTAACCAAGCCCCCGGGGGGCCTCTTCTGAGCCAAGTTCATCCGGGAAACCAAGAATTGTTTTTTTGGTTTTGGTTTTGGTCCCAGGGATTGAACCCAGGGGCGCTGAACCACTGAACCCCATCCCCAGCCCCGTTTTTCTATTTTATCACGGACAAGGGCCTCACTCCATTGCTGAGGCTGGCCTCCAAAGCGCGATCCTCCTGCCTCAGCCTCCTGAGCGGCTGGGATGACTGACGGGCCCCACTGCTCCATAGTTTTGCCCAGAATAAACCCCAAAAACAATGGTCACCCACACTCTGGGGACATGCCAGGGTTGAGGGGTGTGGCGTGGGTCATTTCCTGGCCATCTTGTGTCATTTTTTCTCCTTGTCCAAACATCAGCAGGTGCCGGGTGTGGGGGCGCACACTTATAGTCCCAGTGACTCCAGAGGCTGAGGCACGAGGATCGTAAATTGGAGGCCAGCCTCAGCAATGTAGTTAAGTTCAGCCACTTAACAAAGACCCTAGATGGCTGGGGGGGACGGTGCTCCAGGCCAAGGTGGGAACCGGGATTTATCCTGCTCTGTGAGCTGTCCCAGTCGGGGCTCAGTCTGGTTCCTTCCCGGGCCTCACTTTTCCCTGGTGGCCTGGCCAATCCTGGCCTCCTGCTCTGAGAGGGGACTTGTTTTTTCTTGGTGTGTGGGGGGTACCTGAGATTGAGCTCAGAGCCACTTGACCCCTGAGCCCCGTCCCCAGCCCTTTTACTTTTTATTTAGAGACAGGGTCTCCCTGAGTGGCTTAGGGCCTCGCTTTGGCTGAGGCTGGCCTCCACCTTGTGATCCTCCTGCCTCAGCCTCCACTGGGAGGACAGCCGTGGGCCCCAGCGCCCGGCCTGAGAGGGGGTTCTTAAGGGTTCTCCTGAGGCTTTTGTGGGATTTTCTGATCATTTAATTCCCATCCCTCAGACTCATCCTTAGCTGAGGCCCTTGGACAGGGACCCACTTGGGACGGGTCATTGGGACGCCCTTTCCTCGGCCAAGGACCTCTCCCTGGTGACGCTATGAAGGAGATCTTCCTGGGCCCAGAACACAGCTCCCTCGTCCCCTCCTGAGCAATGCCCTGGGTGACACCATGGTCACACACACCGGGCTGGGAACAGGGGGTCACTTCCTGCCCCCCCCCACCATGGCCAGAGACGGGGTGGGGGCGGGGAGGGCGGACGCGGTTTTATTAAAGGACCAGGAAGAGCATTGGGCAAGTTCAGGACAAGGACAGGAGGTTCCCCATCTGCTCACGGCCACCCAGAGCAGGTTTCGAAGGGACCTTAGGGTGACATTCTCAGGGGCCCGGCCTCTGGGGGAAAGGCGAGCCTCTACCCTGGGGTCTGACCCAGACTCCACCTTGGGTAACGGAGGCCAGAGCCAGAGGAGGAAGGAGGAGGCCTCTGGAGAGGGGGAGGGACATCGTGTCCCCCCCTCCCCCGGGTCCGGGTGCTCGGGGACCTGTGGGTCCCACGGGCCAAACTCAGGATGGACCCACCTGAGGATTCTGCACAGCAGCCTCCAGACTGGGCCTCCCTGGGATGGCATGGGTGGAGGGTGTGCTTTGGAGGCTGAGGTTTGGGGACAGGTGACAGGGATCTGCAGGGGCTGGGGCCCATCTGCATGCCCTTCCCCCACTGCCCAGGCGGCTGCGGCTGCGGTGAGTCAGCTGACAGCAGGCTCCCGCACCCATGGAGCTAGCTGTCACCTCCTGTCCCCGGCAGTGCCACCCCCTCCCCTCCCCCAGCCCCAGGGCGGAGCCTGGCTTTGTGGGACGTGGGTGGGGGCGGGGAGGGGTGGCCATAAAGAGGCCATTTCCTGGGACTTCCGCTTTTTTAAGCTCTGCAGATTGTCACCTGACCTCCTGCCACCTCCCCGAGAAGAGCAAACCCCCGGTGGCGGCCCCTCCCTTGCTCTACACACACACCAAGAAGGGCCCTGGGTGACACAAGTCACAAGGGTGTGGCTAGGGCCCCGTGCCCACTCAGAACCAGGTGTCCCCGACTCTGTCACCAGGGCTCTGCAGGAAGCCACAGCTCTGTGGCCACCAGTCCCTGCTCCCGGGCCTCGGCCTCAGTGTGACCATCTGGGCAGTGGGCGCAGCAGGGGACGCTCCCAGGGCTGGATGCATCGGCCAACAGCCTTCCTGCCCGACTCCACCCTCGGAAGTGGACCCGGGTGCCCCGGAGGGGAGGCCCCTGCCCGGCACCACGGGGTCCCCTCCGTCACCGTGATCTGGAAGCCGGGTTTCTGGTCACCTGAAACCTGCAGAAGTGTCTGAGCACAGTTCCCCCAAGAGAGTCGCATACAGTGGCGCACGGCAGTCATCCTAGCGCCTAGGGAGGCTGAGGCAGGAGGATCGCAAGGTGGAGGCCAGCCTCAGCCACTTAGCGAGGCCCTCAGCAACTCAGGGAGACCCTGTCTCTAAATAAAACACCAAAAGGGCTGGGGACAGGGCTCCGTGGTTCGGTTCCCAGAGATGGAGGAACGCAGCTCTGTCCCCAAGAGCAGACCCCGTGACAAGACAGCCATTGGGAGGCCAGCCTCCTCCGCAGCCCGCACCAGCAGGCCGGGCAAGGGCTCTTCTCACAGAGCGGAAACCTGGAGGGGACCGTCCCCACAAACATCCCCCACCAGGTGGTATACAGTAGGCGCCAGAGGCTGAGGCGCAAGCCCTCGGTGCAAACCTGGGTAGATGGAGCTCATATCTAAGTCTGTCGGGTCAGCAGATGTTGGTGTCGCGGTGACAGCGGGTGACTTCCAGCCTTTTCTAAGATGGAGCCTAATTGCAGCTACTGCTCGGCTGCAAGAAAAACCGAGCGTTAAAATCCACACCAGGAGCCAACTCAGGACTGGGTGTCCCCAACTCTGTCACCAGGAGCCACAGCTGGGGACCCACTCCCTGCTCCAGACCCTGTCTCTAAATAAAATGCAAAATAGGGCTGGGGAGGGGGGCTCTGAGGCCGAGGGACCCTGGGTTCAATCCCTGGTTCCTCCCCCAAAAAGTCTCCCTAAACCTAGTAGCAGCCTCGACCCTCAGCCTTCACCCTCAGCCTCCACCCTCAGCCACAGCCCTGAGGAGCATCTCCAGGGTCCCAGATGGTGTCTCAGCGCTAAGACGGGGACTCAACAGCCCGGTCCTCCATTCAGCTGCTTCTCCCTGGGCCTCCCTGGCTCCTGGCCTCCTCAGCCTCAGGGGCCATGTGGGGGCGGGGGGACCTGCTGTCTCTGCCATTAAACTTGACTGAAGGGTGACATGGGTCTCCTGAGTTGGTGGATCTGAGCACAGATGTGGAAATCTGCTGACCACCCCCTCTTCCTGGTTTTGGGGAGGGGACGGGAGACAGTTCCCTGAAGAGCCAAGCCGGGTGGGCCACACCTGTCATCCCAGTGACTCGGGAGGCCGAGGCAGGAGGATCGCAAGTTGGAGGCCAGCCTCAGCAATTGAAAGAAATAAAAGTCCCCAGAAGGTGGTGAAGCTAAAATCTGCCGGTCCACACCCCTCAAGGCTGAGCTTGAAGGAGACTGCGAAAGCCGGCACCGTCCTCTGGGCGAAAACTGAGGCCCGGGTGGCGGAGGAGGAGGAGGTTGTTGGAGCCTGAATAAAAAGCCTCAGCCTCTCCTGTTGGGGGTTCCTAGGGTCAGCTCAAGTCCTCTTTCCCACTCCAGAGTTGTCCCCAGATCCCTCCGGGGGTCCTTGGGGACAACCCTGCCCACGCCCTGTGCACCCGGCAACCTACCTTGGGTCCACTTAGGGACTGACTTAGGAGAGGCTGGGGACGTAGGAGAAGAGAGGTTCCCATTGGTGGTCAGGGGGGAGGGGGCGAGCTGGGCGAGTCCCCAGCGTGGGGACCCTGGTGCCCTCCGAGGAAGATCCCCTTGCCCCTCGGGTCCCCAGGAAGCCCCCAAGCACTCCCATGTCTATCCCCTGCACCCTCCCCCCCCCTCCAGGGAGACTCCTGTCCTCAGAACCCCATTTCCCAGGTAACCACAGCTGTTGGTGACCTCACAGGACATGAGTCACACAAGAGGATCCAGGGTAGTTCCAGCAAAGGGCCAGAGGCTCTGGGGGGGGAGGGCAGATGGGAACAGGAGGGGCCAAGCCAAGGTGACTTACGGAAGGGAGGGAGGGAGGGAGTCTCAGGACAGACCAGGCCAGGGAGGACAGGGGATAGCCCACGCCTTGGTTCTATGCCTTAAGATATTTTGGCCATGAGGTCACAATGCTTCTTCCACAGTGGCACAGAATATCTGCACTTCTTTTTTTTTTCCAGAAAAATACAGTTCATGAAGGATGCTCCTCTGGAGGCTGAGGCAGGAGGATGGCAAAGTGGAGGCCAGCCTCCACCACTTAGGTCTCAAAATGAAAAAAAATTTTTAAAAAAGGACTGGGGGGTGTAGTTTGGTGGTAGATCATTTAGCATGTGGGATGCTCTGGGTTTGGTCCCCAGGACCAGGCACACACATGAAAGGAGAGGGGGGGTCCCTTGGAAGCCACCCACCATTCTTGGTGGATGATGGCTCCTTCCTCAACTCTAATCCTCCCTCCCTTCTCTGGTGGTCACAGACTGCGGAATGTTCTAGAGCCCTGTTCCAGATGGGCTGAGGACCCGGGTTTATCACTGTCACTGTCGTAGCCACAGTTTTTTCCTAATTCCAAGCTGGTGGGATTGAAATGACACGAACTGCACCTAACACTGTGGACCTGGCACTGTACTAGGCAGGAGCCATTTGTGAATCAGCCTTCAGAGTTTTCTTCTGAAGTCATTTGTCCCTGAGGATGGCTGCTCACTTATCTCCGAATTCATTCCAAAGGTCACGTGTCTTTATAGCATCATCCTCTTAAGGGTCTTAGGGGACAAAAGGGACGTTTGGAAAAGTCTTTAAATTATGCAAAGTTCTCTAAGTGGGCAGCCAATCCCGGGCAGCCAATCCTGAGCATCAATTCTGGGCAGCCAACCCTGAGCAGCCAGTCCCAAGCAGCCAAACCCGGGCAGCCAATCCTGAGCATCCAATTCTGGGCAGCCAATCCTGGGCAGCCAATCTCAGGCAGCCAATCCTGAGCAGCCAATCCCAGGCAGCCAATCAGGGACAGCCAAGAAATCCCAGGCGGTCAATACTGGCTCCAAAGGCTGAGTAGGGGGTGCAGCAGGCTCTACGACCCCCAGCGCCCTCAACCCCAGTCAGTCTCACCTATGAGGCGAGAGACTGCACCCCACTTGGCAGTTCAGAGATGTTGGGTGACCTGCTCAAGTTTGCCCAGGCAGCAGTCAATGAATGGACTCCAGAATCCTAGACAGAACCGAGGTCTGGGGCATCGCCTGGTCCTGTCCTTTGATGCCACTAACTCCGCCCCTACAACCTGATGCAGGAGTAAACCGAATTGCTATTATTTTATTTATTTTATTTTTATTTTTTAAATTTATTATTATTATTTTTTATGATGCTGGGGATCCAACCAACAGCATTGCCCGATGGCACACATCTTCATGGGCTAGATGGCAGGGGCAATAGCTGCAGAGGTGACAGCCAGAGGCCACGTGCTAATAATCCAATGCTTTCCCATTTAATTTTTCTCCAGGACCCCTGCGGTGACAACTAACTACCCCTCAGGCTAGGGAAGAGATTTTCCTCCCCCAGCCATTTAAATTCAGCCTCTTTAGAGTAATTAGTTGGCTCCAGTACAGAGGTGTGGCTAATCTCCCCAACTAACCAGGGGAAGGGACCGAACCCCAGGGTTTCCTCCTATTCTACAGCTTCTGAAGACAGAGCCACAGCCTCCCTCCCTTCCTGTGTCCCCAGCTGTCCCCTAGCCCTCCTTTGAGTACCAGAGATTGAACCAGGGGTGCTTAACCACTGAGCCCCATCCCCAGCCCTTTTTTATATTTTATTTAGAGACAGGGTCTCGCTGACTTGCTTAGGGCCTCGCTGAGGCTGGCTTTGAACTCGCGATCCTCCTGCCTCAGCCTCCCAAACTGCTAGAATTAGGGGCATGCGCCCCCATGGCCGACTTGAACTGTCACTCTTGAGCCACCACAGGGCTTCATCAGCTTCCCCACCCTGTGCACAGGCTGGGCTATCGGAAAAAAAAAAAAAAAAAGTCTCCTTTTCCTTCTTGGGCACAAAGGATACCGGCGATTTAGGCCATCTCTATAAATAGCCAAGAAAATCCATTCTCTTTAATTGACTCCTGTTATTTATTTGGTCAATCAGCTCCTCTGGCCCCCCCGATGGTCGAGTCCTATATTAATTTCCTCCCTGACACTGTCACTGGAGAGGAGGCAGCCTCCTGGCCTCCCCAGTTTTCTCCTTGAATTCTACAGCAGCCTCCTTTGGAGACCATGTCACCGAGATCCGCCTGTCTCTGTCACCTCCGCCTGGGCTGCAGCTCTTAAGATTTTAGTGGGAAGCTAATGAGCTACTTGGCCAGCTGCAGGCGGAGACCTCAGGAATGTGGCTTCCCCCTCGGACCATCAGTTCCACCATCTGTGAAATGGGCTCTCTCCAAAGACACGTGAGAAAGCTTGAGGCAGTGCACAATCGGATTTGCTCCCTGGGGAAACTGGACACTGCCTCACCCCCCGGGGACGATCAGATGTCTTTTATTTCATGTGTTTGTAGGACAAATACGGACGGTGGCCCTTCTTTCGCACCCAGCTAAGCCCTGGGAAGAGAGGAAATCAAACACCCAGGCTTGGAGGTCGGTCACGAAGGGACAATACCAGATCAACGCGCTTTCTCCGTTGGGTGCCCTGTGGTCAAAGAGGCACATTCTGCGGAGGGGCCTTCTGCGGTGGCACTGCGGTCCCCTCCCTCCCAAGGCACCTCAGGCGCTCCCCAAACCACGTGAGTCTGCAAAGTAGGTTAGCCATCTCATTAGAGTGGCTCTCCTCCGGGGACCTGTGGCCGCGCCTGCGATTCTCCTGCAGCCGTGTCTGGGTGAGGGCAGAGGACAGGTGTCCAGACAACCAGGAGACACCGGTCGCTGCCTTGAAGGGGCACTTGGGACCAGGAAATGAGGACTTCTGGTTCCCAGGGGCTGGGTGCCCAAAATGAGTCAAGACCAATCACTGGGTGTGACATCTGAGGTCACCCAACAAGACCACCTGCTCAGCTCCGCCCTCCTCCCCAGAATGCAGGCCACGCCCTATCTGATCTGGGATCCCCCCCTACTGATGAGGGTACACCCCATCCTACCAGGCCACGCCCATTCCCACCAGGCCACGCCCCATCCCGCCAGGGGCCCGCCCCATCCAACCCAGCTCTCCCCCAACTGACAAGACCTCGCCCCATCCGTCCAGGCCACGCCCCATCTGTCCAGGCCACGCCTAGCCCCACCAGGAGCACGCCCCATCCAACCAGGCTCTCCCCCAAACGACAAGACCACGCCCCATCAGACCAAGCCACGCCCACTCCGGTTAGGTCACGCCCACTCCCGCCAGGGGCACGTCCCATCCAACCAGGCTCTCCCCCAAACGACAAGACCATGCCCCATCAGACCAAGCCACGCCCACTCCGGTTAGGCCACGCCCACTCCCGCCAGAGGCACGTCCCATCCAACCACGCTCTACCCCACATGACTAGACCACGCCCCATCAGACCAAGCCACGCCCAGACCGGTTAGGCCACTCCCAGTCCTGCCAGGGGCACGCCCCATCCAACCCGGTTCTCCCCCAACTGACAAGGGCACGCCCCATCCATCCAGGCCACACCCCATCCATCCAGGCCCCGCCCAGCCCCGCCAAGGGCACGCCCCATCCATCCAGGCCCCGCCCAGCCCCGCCAAGGGCACGCCCCATCCAACCGGACTCTCCCCCAACTGACAAGAGCAAGCCCCATCCAACCAGGCCACGCCCAGTCCAGCAAGGTCACGCCCAGTTCCGCCAGGCCACGCCCCATCCGGCCAGACCACGCCCAAATTAGCTTGCGGAAGTTCCCCACACACTTTGGCTCTCGGCCAGGCCTTGACAGAGCATTTCCGCTTCCCAGGGTGGCCTTCCGGTCCTGTGCCCACCGCACAGCCTGCTGTCACTCAGAACATCTGGCAACATTTTGCAACATTGTTATGTCCAAAGCCTCCTCCCCACAGAGGACTGGGGACCTGGCTGGGTGGCCGAGCGCTTGGCCTCCTCCCTGGGGGGCCCTCAGACTAAACAGGGAGCAGGTCACCTTCAGGTCCCCAAGGGCCAACCACAGGCAAAGTCCACCACTTCAGGATGACTGTGTGGGCACTTTCAATTCTCAATTTTCGGTGGCACAGAGTTCCCCCAGACCTCCCCCGCCATCAAATACTCCCACTGAGACTTCACCTCACTCAACGGGAGAGAGGTGACAATGTGACACTTCTCAATGACTGGAAAGGCCAAAGGTCCTCACCCCATGAAGCTGAGAGGACGCTGCTTCCCCAGAAACATCCAGCAGGCTGGGCCACACGGGTGTCACTCAGCCCAGAGACGGTGACTCCGGTTTTGTCTCTTGTAGGGTAAGAGACACGTCCAAGGTTGGAATGAGTAAATGTCACTAAGTCACCCCGAGAACACTTTAGTATGACCGTGATTGAGACGCAGAAATGTTTGCACTTATGCTTTTCAAATTCCAGAGCTCTGTGGGGGTCTCTGACCCAGTAAATCCTCCAGGTGGCTCGGGAGGCTGAGGCAGGAGGATCTCGAGGACTTCAAAGCCAGCCTCAGCCAAAGGGAGGCCCTAAGCCACTCAGTGAGACCCTGTCTCTAAATAAAATGCAAAATAGGGCTGGGGACGGGGCTCAGGGGTTGAGGGCCCCCAAGTTCAGTCCCTAGTATGCCCCCCCAAGAAGAAGTACCATCCAAAAACCCCGTGTAGGTGCCATGGGGGGTGGGCCAGTAAACTGGGGAGCTGGACCAAGGGCCACTACTTTCCCTAACCAGGACAAGACCCCGTGGGGACACGGGAACTTATTTTCTTTCTGGGGATCCACCCAGGGGCGCTTCATCACTGAGCCCCCCGTCCCCAGCCCTTTTTATTTTTAATTTTGAGACTGGGTCTCGCTGAGTTGCTTCGGGCCTCGCTTTTGCTGAGGCTGGCCTTGCACCTGAGATCCTCCTGCCTCAGCCTCCCGATGCTCTCCCACTTTGACAGTGGACAACTCTGGTCTCTGAACGGCTCTGGCAATTTCTAAACAGAATTTCTGTCCTTAAAAAAAAAATATTCCCATTAGACTCTTGCCAGGACTAACAGCCATCACGGAAGATACCCCCGGGGGGGTGTCCTCAAGGAGACCCGAGCTTTCCTGTCACACAGGTTGGGCCAGAAGAGAGGCACCTGCCTGTCCTGCTCTTTGTGAGGCCCCATCTTGTGGCATGTGGATAACTGCGCTGAAACCCCGGGCTCCCAGTTCTGACACGTGGCTTGGAGCTCTGTAGCTGTCCCCCTCGAGACCCAATTTTTGCTCCCCTGTCACCTGAGTTCAGTAAAAACTGCCTTATGAAGCAGGGCGCAGGGCCCACGCCGGTCGTCCTTTGGGAGGCTGAGGCAGGAGGATCTCAAGGTGGAGGCCAGCCTCAGCCACTGAGTGAATCCCTAAGCGACTTAGCAAAACTCTTGTCTCCAAATCAAAAGGGCTGGGGATGTGGCTCAGTGAGTGGTTCAATGTCCCTGGTTCAACTCCCAGTCACTACCAGCAGCTCCTCGGGAGGCCCCGGCAGGAGGATCGTGAGTTCAAAGCCAGCCTCAGCCAAAGTGAGGCCCTAAGCAACTCAGGGAGACCCTTTCTCTAAATAAAATGCAAAATAGGGCTGGGGACGGGGCTCAGGGGTTCAGCACCCTTGGGTTCAATGCCCAGTACCTCCCAAAAAAGAGAGCAATCTCGGAGCACTGCACGGAGGAGGTGTTGTCGGACAAACCAGAGGGAGAGCCGCTCTAAGCCTCAGTGGTCTCTTCTGCAAAATGGGCTTCCCAAGTGGGCACCCCCCAAACAAGTCTCCAAAAGGTTCGCCACCGGCCACCTCTGATTATGGCCGATAAAGCCACCCGCCCCACCCACACACACCTACTTTATCCTGGACACGGTCCAGCCTCTTGGGAGAGGGCTCTTTCCCAATGCCCGTGGCTACTTATTAACTGGCAGAGAGGCCTCCCTCGGAGACGGGGAAGGGGCTGGACTTGGAGTCTGCTCCTGGCCTGGGGCTTTGAGGACGGTGCTGCACCCTGAGGGTACCCAGGTCAGATGCACCAGATTCCACCTCTTCACAGCCGTTGGCGGACCTGGGAGAAGTCACTTCGCCTCTCTGGGCCTCAGTTTCCCCATCTGTAGAATGGCGCTACAGGGTGAGGCACCCGGGATGGGGGTCCGTCAGTCAGCATCGAACTGACTTAGCTGGGATGGCTACCCAAAAAGGGAGGAGCCAGGAGCTACACCTGTCGTCCCAGCTCGTCGGGAGGCTAAGGCAGGAGGATCGCAAGGTGGAGGCCGGCCTCAGCCACTTAGCAAGGCCCTAAGCAACTCAGCGAGACCCTGTCTCTAAATAAAATATAAATAAATGTCAGAAGGCACCCGGGGAGACACCTAAGAGGATCAGACAAGAAACCCGAGCTTCAGAGTTTTGGGGGAGTCTGTATTGTAAGATATATTTTTCACCAAATGCAAAATTAAGGGATTTTCAATTTTCCGAGGTTGAAAATCAGTTAATAAATCGGCCCAAAGAAGAAGAATCTATCCATTCAACGGCTTCTAGAGACACCAGTGTGATCCTGACCGAAAAGCCATCAAACAAATGCCATCCACGGAATGTCACCAGGGCCTATAGATTAGCTATCAGAGCTGTGTCAACGCAAAGGAGAGTCGCGGCCTGATAATCCACACAATGGCCCTTGCTCTTTCGAAATACCTGGGGGAACTGGGGTCAAGAGGGAGCTGCCTTCCGCCCCAGTGATTCAGCAAAAGCAAAACAAATCCAACAAAAGGAAAAAAACAAAATGCATGTGACTATTTTTATAGAACACAGGGACAGAGGGGACAAAAGGAATGTAGTTAATATTAAGTGTAAGGGAATCGAAGTGAGGGGGTGTCAGGTGTCCAATCTCTGGCAACGTCTCTGAAAGTTTGCAATTTTTTTTTTTCCCAATAGAAAGTTTAAGTGGGGCCGAGCTTTGGTGGCCTGCACCTGTCACCCCAGCAGCTGGGGAGGCCGAGGCAGGAGGATCGAAAGTTGGAGGCCAGCCTCAGCCACTTAGTGAGGCCCTGAGCAACTCAAGATAAAAAATGCAAAGGACTCGGGATGGGGCTCTGGGGTACAGTACTTCTGGGTTCAGTTCCAAAAAAAAAAAACAATAAAAATGTTTAAGTTTTTAAGAAGTTTAATGGGGAACAGGGGCCCATGGCTGTAATCCCAGCCATTAGAGGCTGAGGCAGGAGGATCAAAAGGTGGAGGCCAGACTCAGCCATTGAGTGAGACCCTGTCTCTGTGGTACAATGTCCTACTTAACGTGTCCTGGCTTAGAGCTGCCACACCACCCCAACCAAAAAGTTTGACAGATCAGAGATAATTATTGTTATTAATATTATTATTTGAGTACTAATTATTATTATTATTATTATTATCGATATTATTATTTACAGTACTAATTATTTATTATTGTTATTATTATTATTATTATTTTATTATTATTATTTGCAGCACAAAGATTCAAACCCAGGACCTTATGCATGTGACGCACCCATCTCTAATCTCCACCCCAAACCCCTGACCAGACAGAATTGGGACCAGAGCCCGAGTCCCCAGCTCACCCTGTGCCTTGGACCTACTGGTTCCCCCTTTTTTGGGGGGTGGGTACTGGGGATTGAAGCCGAGGCGCTTAACCCCTGAGCCCCGTACCCAGCCCTTTTTTCTATTTTATTTTGCTAAGTGGCTGAGGCTGGCCTCCAACTTGCAATCCTCCTGCCTCAGCCTCCCGACTCTCTGGGATTCCAGGCGTGGGTCACTGCAGACCAGCTGGTGGCCCCCACTTCCAGGACCAACTCAGCAAAGCTCTGCCCCCCCCCCACTAGACGCAGGCAAGGCTGTCCCCGAGAGAGGCCAGCGCAGGCAGGCCGGGCAGGCACACAGGAGACCGGCCACCTCCAGGTGACGTGAATCAAGTCCCGGGTTCTCAGGAGTCTGTTTTCTCCTTGAGGCTGGGGGAGGCGTTGAGGTCCCCCCCAGATGGGGGTCATCCCTGCCCCAGGGGAGGCAGCAGCCCCACGGAGGAGGGGGGGTGTCAAGAGCTACTTACATTTCGGAGCCTCCTCAGAAGGGACTGTGATTCTGATTGTGCACCTACGGCAGAGAAGAGAAAGAGAGACCGTGAGCCCCCGGGACACCAAACCCCAAAGGGACGGGGACCAGGAAATCCACAGGTGTGGCTCAACAGGTGTGCGGCGGGGGAGGGGGGCGCACCTGTCCTCCCAGCAGCTCGGGAGGCTGAGGCAGGAGGATCGCAAGGTGGAGGCCAGCCTCAGAAATTTAGCAAGGCCCTGAGCCACTCCTCGAGACCCTGTCTCTAAATAAAATAGAAAAAGGGGCTGGGGACAGGCTCAGGGGTTAAGTGCCCCTGGGATCAGTCCTTGGACTCCACAAATTTTCCTGCTGATCTTCCAAGAACTGGGAACAGCCTCCAAATAGCTCCTCACCCCAGGCCCTTGGGCTGACATCCAATCCCGCTGTGGGGCCTCGACCCGACAGGCTGCCTGGGGACACTGGCTGTCTGCAAGGACCTGGCCGGCTCCGGGTTGGCCCCTGATTGACATCCGACTTGGCTGCTTGGAAAAGCCTCCCGCGGCTCTTGGATCGGGGACACTTGGGCTCCTAAGAGGCTTCCCACCCGCATCCTTTCCAAGGTGGCACGAGCCCAGGGGACCAGACTGTGCCAGCTCCAGCCTGGTGACCTTGGGCCAGCAACCTGCCCTCAGCTGGGGGCCTCGGGATTTTCAACGACAAACTGGGGACGCCCGGTATACCTGGGTGCCTTTGTGCATTGATTTATTTTCCGTTTTGCGGTGGAGACTCGGCCTCCTGGGCTCCAGAGATCTTCCAGCCTCAACCCCAAAATCCCAACCCTAAGGAGCAGGTCTTGAGATCCTGCATTTCCAAGCAGCCCCCCTGGCTGTGTCCCTGCCACTGTTCTGGGGACAACCCTGAAAAGTGAAGGAAACAGAATAACAGGCCCCGCAAGGTGGTGCCCGCCTGTCATCCCAGAGACTGGGGAGGCTGAGGCAGGAGGATCGCAAGTTGGAGGCCAGCCTCAGCCACTTAGTGAGACCCTAAGCAACTCCGTGAGACCCTGTCTCTAAATAAAAAAGGGGGTTCTGGGGGCGCAGCCAAGTGGTGCAGAGCCCCCTGGGTTCAGTCCCCGGTGCCAAAAAAAATTAATAATCGTCAAATAAACTACTGGTGAGTCCCCAGATGGAGGTGAGAAGGGACATGGGTCCCACCTCTGCCCGGCGGGTGGCCATCCATCCTGGTTGGGAACTCGGTCACGGTCCAGGTAATAAATATAGTGGAAAGGGCCTTCCAGGTGACAGATTTGGGTCTTTCTAGAATAGTCTTTGTTCCTCTCTGCACAAGGCTCAATCTTTGATGTTCCAAGACAGAAATTGCCCTGTGCTGCTCGGACCTAGGGCAGAGGCCAGTCCCCAGGCTGCCCTGCAGCTGGGGTTCGGACGGCAGGAGGCCACCGTGGGGCCTCCACCTGCCTCCTGCACCCCTCTCACCAAAAGCAAATCCACAAGCACCGAGCAGCCCGACCAGAGACTCTAGGCTGAAGGGTTGAAGTTGCACAGCACAGACATTCCTCTGTCTCCCCACCATCTGCTGCCCCGGAGTCATGACCTTGAACTCCCTGGGAGCAGGATGTCCGTCTCCCACCTACCTGAATCAGATGGGTGTCCCATGCCCAGCCTGGGGCACTTCACGACAGGGGACAGCACCAAAGGGGTACTGTGCCGCTCAGCACCACCCACAGTGTGCGTGCTGGAGGCAGGGTGGGGACAGGAGGGGATCCACGCAACACCTCCCACTGTGGCCTGAAGTCATTTTGCAAAGCAAAACCAACAGTCGGGGGGCACGGTGGTGCGCGTCTGCCATCCCAGCGGCTCGGGGAGGCTGAGGCAGGAGGATCGCGAATTGGGAGGCCAGCCTCAACAACTGAGCAAAACCCTGTCTCAAAATTTAAAATTAAAATAAATAAAAAATTTAAAAATGGCTCAGCTCCTGGGTTAAAGATGATAATAATAATAATTTTATATAATAATATAATAATCATCAGTTTATATAACCAGGAGGGACCAGGGGTACAGGGTGGTGGCTCCGGAGCACTTCTGTGGGAGGCACAAGAGACGCCTCAGGACAGAAATAGATCCCCGGGTACCTGTGGGAAGGAGCTGGGGGCTCATTTTTTCTCTTTTTTCCTTTTTAAGGTTCGTTCTCATCTCGAATCTTCTACTAATCGTGGCAGAAAAACCCACATAAGTTCCTGTATTTTTCCTAAAACCTGGAGGCTACACCTCGGCTCAGAAAAATCCGCATCCAAAGCGGGTTTCGGACCCCTGAAAAAACCCGTAGGACAACGGTCCCCTCCTAGAGGACCCACGGGGACTCGGTGACCTGGACTCCCACAGAGGGGTCTCTGCGCCCAAGCGCTGGGGAGCCTTCCAACCTGACCTGTGTGATCTCAGCAGGTGAGGACCAGAGAGGGCAAGGGATTCCACGAGGTCACACAGCAAGTCAGAGACCCGAGGGGCATTCAGACCCTGGAGTCCCCGTGCCCAGTAATGACACTTTGGATTTTCCTGAGGGCTTCCGTGGTTACTCATTAACCCCAACTCCGTGAGGGCGTTGGTCTGTTTTGTTCAACAGCCACATCACTGGGGCCTGGGACAACAGCATGTAAGGACCCGCTGGTGCCAGGCACGGCGGGTGGCACATGCTGTAAACTCGGCACCTGGGGAGGCTGAGGCAAGAGGATCGCACCTTTGGAGGCCAGCCTCAATTATTGAGTGAGGCCCTAAGCAGCTGAGCAAGACTCGATCTCCAAATAAAAAATAAATCAAAAGGGGCTGGGGACGGACGGGGACAACGTGGTTTGGTGTCCCTGGGTTCAACCCCTGGCACCCCCCGCCCAAAAAAAAAGAAGTCCAAACCACAGGCCTCCTTTTGGGAGTCAGGGAGGCTGATATCCTCAGTGTCTGCGCTGAGCACCTACTACGGGCCAGATCCCTATGATGGACACTGGGGCTTCTGTCCCCTGTCCTCAGTGTGTCCTGCATCCAGAGGATCAATACAAGACCATAACAGTGTGACCTCAGACGGACAAGAGAGTCCGTGGCCTCAGAATCGGGTGATTTTAATTCCACTTGGACACATGATTTTTTTTCGGGGGGGGGGGGAATACCAGGGATTGAACCCTGGGGGGTGCTTAACCCCGGAGCCCCCGTCCCCAGCCCTTTTTAATATTTAGAGACAGGGTCTCACTGAGTTGTTGAAGGCGGCCTCCACCTTGCCATCCTCCTGCCTCAGCCTCCCGAGCTCTATTCCACAAAGCACTAGGGAGCCACGGAAGGCTCTTGAGCAGGAGTGTGGTCTTCTGAGAAGTTGGCTCCCGGAGGCCACAGCGAGGGGACATGGTGGCTGCCCAGGAGGGCTTTGGTGACATGGGCCTGCAGAACTAAATGAAGGTCTGTGGAGTCTGGACCCAGGATTCCCTCAGGGCCGAGTGGCAGGTGCCCATCAGCCCGGAGCCAGAGGGCGGAGCCCTGGGGACCTCCCCCTTCCGGCAGCACCCAGGGAGCATGACTCGGCCCAGACCCAGGCCACCGCAGTCCCCACCCCCCAGCAACTGGCAACCTCGGGTTGAGGCCTTTCCGCTGGAAAGAGGTCGGTGGCAGTGACTCACTTGGCACTTTTACCGTCTGTGACAAGTCACCATGGCAACGGGACTTGCAGAAGGCCCCTCCTCGGGGCCGTCCCAGGAGCCACTTCCCCGGCCTTTTTTATATTTTTAATTTTGAGACAGGGTCTGGCTTCAGTTGCTTAAGGCCTCTCTAAGTGGCTAAGGCTGGCCTCCACCTTACGATCCTCCTGCCTCGGCCTCCCGAGCTGCTGGGATTGTAGGCCAGGCCCGGCCCCCTTCTTGGATTCTTGGATTCAGGACGCCCTCCCCTGTGTCCCTTGCGGAGGGGACTCTTACCTAACCCCCCCTGGGACCAGTGCTTCCTGTGAGGGCTTTATCTTCCCCTGCTGATAGATGTGTCCCTCAGACCTCAGCCTCCTCCTCCGTAAAGAGGGTGGGCAGGTTGACTGGATGACCTCACTCACGGTGCCCACGCTCCACCGTCCAACGGACCCCTCTTGGTCACACCTGTCCCCGGGTCCTGTTTGCCGGCCCTTGGTGTCATCACCTGGATTGTTCATTAACCTCCTCCTGATAGACCTCTTGGTATGCACTCCCTCCTCCTGTGAGGCTGAGCACAGGGACCATTGTCTTTATGCCTGGCATGCAGTAGGTGCTCAATAAATACTGGCGGTAGAGCCAGTGGGACAGAGACGGGCTGAGGCATGGAGGGGACTCTGCCGTCTGTGGTCCTTCTACCCTGTCCTAAGTCATTTATCTGATGAGCTCAGGTGCAGAACTTCCACGGGAGAAGGGATAGTCAATGTGGGTTCCTACCCGGGGCATGAGGATCGCAAGTTGGAGGCCAGCCTGGGCCACTCTTTGCAAGACCCTGTCTCAAAATAAAATAATAATAATTGGGCCCGAGCTGGGGCTTGGTGGTGCACACCTCTCATCCCAGCGGCTTGGGAGGCTGAGGCAGGAGGATCGTGAGTTAGAGGCCAGCCTCAACCGTGGCGAGGCCCTAAGCCACTCAGCGAGACCCTGTCTCTAAATAAAATGCAAAATAGGGCTGGGGACGGGGCCCAGGGGTGGAGGGTCCCTGGGTTCAATCCTGGGTCCCCCCCCACCCCAAAGTAAAAGGGCTCCTTCGTGTCCCTGGAGGACCACAGGGTCCTGTGTGCCATCTCAGGTCAAGTTCAAAGCCACTGGGTGGGAGTGTCTGGTTCACTGAGCTGGATGCTGTCCACCGTGGTCAGGCAGGACAGGCCGAGGAGGTCATCGGTTCCCGGTGTCCGGGACAGTTGGCAGCGCTGGGTTCTGACGCGCCGAGGGTCCACAATGGCCCATTGTCTGAGCAGCCCCATTGGCAGGACCAGGGGCAGGTCTGGTGCCATCTCTGTTCAAAGGAAAATAAAACTACCCCCTGAAGGATCACTCTGTACTTGATACAGTTATTATTATTTTTTTAATTGTTTCTGATTTGTGTTCCTTTTGTAATTAAAAAGTGAATCTTCTCCAGGCTGGGGCAGCCCGCGCCTGTCATCCCAGCGACTAGAGAGGCTGAGGCAGGAGGATCACAAGTTGGAGGCCAGCCTCAGCCACTTAGTGAGTTTCTAAGCCACTTAGACCCTGTCTCAAAATTAAAAAAAAATAATAATGATAATAATAAAATAGAAAGGACTGGGGATGGGGTTCCCAGTCCCGGTAGAGCACCTCAGGATCCAGTCTCTGGTGCCAAGAAAAGAAATAAAAAGATTCCAAGACTCTCTTCCACAGGACGCTCATTCAGGATTTCCAGGATGCGCCTGGAATCTCACTTTATTGGTTTAAAAAAAAAGGGGGGGGGGATTCCAGATAATTCTTCTTTTCTTTCTGCCCCCCTCTCCCTCCTTGAAATCGCTCAGGCTGGTCTGAAGTCATGAGCTTCCCGAGATCCTCCTGCCTCAGCCTCCCCAGTAACTGAGACGACAGGTGTGCACACACCAAATGTGGCTTAGTTTTTGATTTTTTTTTTTTTTTGGTGCCAGGGATGGAACTCAGGGGCCTTTGACCCCCGAGCCCCGTCCCCAGCCCTGTTTTGTGTTTTATTTAGAGACAGGGTCTCCCTGAGTGGCTCGGGGCCTCCCTTTGGCTGAGGCTGGCTTGGAACCCGCGATCCTCCTGCCTCAGCCTCCAGAGCTGCTGGGACGAGAGGCCAGGTCGTTCTTCTGAGCTGGGGACAGTTAGGGCGGCTGCCCCTCCTCCAGCCTAAGCCGCACCCGGGGCCCTTTGTTTTAGGTGTTTTGTTTTTAGAAACAGAAAAGCAAATTCCTGCTCCTAAGCCCCAACCCTAGCACCAGCCTCAGCTCCGGTTTCCAAAGGCAGCCACTGCCCAGGTGAGGTGGGAGGAGAAGCCCACACGGCCCTGTGTCCATAAGTCACCCTGGGACTCCCAGGACGGCCACTCCCCCATGTTTCCAGAAATACCTTAGGCAACTCTCGCTGGCACAGAAGACGTTTTGTACCCTAACCCATGGCTGGGCCACCCTGCGACTCCTGGAACCCCAGCAGCCTCGTTCTCACCATGAGGGCTCTCCAGGCTGGACTGGCTTCAGTCCTGCTCTCCCCAAATCCTGTTTGTCTCCCTGCTGACCTCAGAATACAGCCCAAGCCCACCCAGCCAGCCCTCGGGTTCCTCGACCATCTGGCTTCTGCCGAATCTAACCCTGGATGGAGGAGGTGGTGGCATCGCAGCCTCTCGGGAGGCTGAGGGAGGAGGATCATAAGGTGGAGGCCGGCCTCAGCACCTTAGCAAGGTCCTGCCGGGCATTTCCAGAACCAGAGCTCCTCCCCAGAAGCCATGAAGTCAAACCAAAGCCGTGGACCAGGGCAGGTTGGCCAATGTGGAAAAGTGAGATACAGCCCCCAGAGAATCTGGGGCTGGGCACGGTGACGCACACCTGTCATCCCAAGCAGCTCAGGAGGCTGAGGCAGGAGGATCACAACTTGGAGGCCAGCCTCAGCCACTTAGAGCCTAAGCAACTCAGGGAGACCCTGTCTCTAAATAAAATATAAAAAAGGGCTGGGGACGGGGCTCTGGGGTTGAGGGCCCCTGAGTTGGACCTCTGGTACTCCCCCCCCCAAAAAAAAAAGAATCTGGCTCTTGCTCACAGTGTTTTATCATCCGGGATCTTTGGAAAGAGTTTTGGAGAAGGAACAGCTCCCAAGTCCCCTGACAGATTGACAGAAGGACAAATTGGGTTGGAAAACAGAGTATCCACAGCCCTGAGTGCCTCTCGGGAGGCTGAGGGTGGCCCCAGGAATGCAATAGAATCAGGGCTCCCTGAGAAGGCACAGAGAAAAGAATCAGGTACCTAAGTGATGTCCCCGTGGGTCCCATCCACTCCCCGCCAGCCCTGAGGACTGGGGGTGCCCTACTTCAGCCTCCACTTGCCAGGAAGTCAGTGACCAGAGCTCTCAATCTGCCACCGTCCCACGAAGACAAAGTCTTCTGGGCGGGTCTCAGTTGGCCCATCTGTGAAATGGGCACAGCGACCCCTCAGGGCCTGGGGACTGGGCCCAGCAGAGGTGGCCCTGGATGGCTCAGGATGAGGAGAGGAAATTGGGAGGGGCGGCCGGCAGCTGGGCCACCCAGCCGTGCCAGGGTGTCCCCAAAGGACAAGTGCTCAAGATGGCACGGTGGCCCTGGCCACATACCACAGCCACCCTGGAGCGCTCGTGACACCCTCTAATCGGCAGTTCTGCGGCCCAGCTGGGCTTTACAGCTTACCACAGCTTAGGGCGCCTCATCTCCCCCAATCCCCTCAAGGACGCCGTGGGGCTGGCCTGTGGGTGTCCTGGCTGCCTGGACGGTCCAGCTGAGGTTCACAGAGTGAGTCACCCAAGGTCACCATTGAGAGCGAGCCCAGCTCAGCTGCCCAGAGCCCAGCTCCCGCCTGCCTCTGGGATCCTGGGGCTTTACCTGCCCAGGGGGCCGCAGGCCACGCCCACTTTCCAGGTGAGGAAACCGAGGTCCAGCAAAGGTGGCCCCAGGTCAAGAGTGGACAGAACCCGGGGAGGGGGGGGACACAGCCTCTCGCCATTCTGCCAGTCCCACGGGGCTGTGGAGTCTCAGCCTGGGGTCCTCGGGTGGCTCTGGAACCTCCCTGAAACATCACCCAGGTGACATGCCTTCCCCACCCCCCGTGGCCACCTCCTCACGCCCACCCCACGGTGGCTCCCCGGGTGACTCCCCGGTCCCTGGTGGAGGGAGACAGGCGGTTGCTAAGCGCTCACCCTCTCTCTCCCGTAAAAATAAACTCCTTCTGGCTGGGAGACGCTGGACCAGGTCCCCTCCCTGGAAGCCACCAAAATAAATAAATAAATAAATGGAATGAAATTCTTTTTTTTTTTTTTTTTTCCATTTTACAAAGGTCCCCCTCGGTGACATTGATTCAGGGCCCGGTTTGCTGAAGTCCAAAGGGAGCCTCGGAATCCTGAGCCCCTCCATGGCGGGCTGCTGGGTTGGTTTATGTCCCCAGGCAGGAAATGGGGGCCAGGCTGCCTCCCAGGCCTCTGGGGCTGGTCCTGGGGGAGGCTGGGATCTGGCAGGAGCCCGGGCAGTGACCAAAATAGCCAAGCCGGTGGCCCTGCCCAGCACACACCTCCCTCTGGGTGTCCAAGAGGGACGGATGGACGGTGGCCTGCGGTTCCCCTTCCAGAAGGTCTGGGACAGGGGGAAGGTGGTCCCCCCAGAGTCCCCCCCCCTGGGCAGCCTCCCTAGTGGGAGGGGCATGTGAGCCTCCACACCAAAAGAGGAACCCGCGGGAGGAAGGGGAACCCTGAGCGACATGTGCCCCACGGGCCACCTCGCTGCCCACGGTCGCCTGGCTGTCCCTGCCGGGGCCTGGGTCCCGCCACTCAGGGCCACCTGCACACACACACACACACACACAGAGGCAGCGCGGTGAGGCCATGCCTCCCGGTCACCTCTCCTTCCCACGCGGTCCCCGCCCTGCAGAACCCGTTGGGGCCACCGAACCCCTTTTGGCACTGGGGATGGGGGACACCCTCCCAGGCACAGCCCAGGGGCACAGATCACAGGACCCAGCCACCACACTCGGGGACTCACACACACGTGCACACGGCCAGGGACTCCCTCGGAGGCACGGTCACACCCGGGTTCACGCTCACGGGGACCCGCGAGAGAGAGGGCACAAGTCCCCAAGAGCCACAGCCACACACCGCCCGCAGGTACGCGCGCGCGCAGCCCGGGAGACCCGGAGAATGGCCCACGGCACTGGGTCGCCCATGTGCACGCGATGCAGGCGACACGGAGAAACGGCCACCCTTTCGGGCATCCACGGGGACCACCATCACGGGGACAGAGCCGGACGGACAGACGGACAGACAGACTCCCAGGCGCGCACACACCTGCCGCTGCACCGCGAGCCCCAGACCTTGGGGCTGGGGGTGTGTATGGGGGGGGGGACAATAACACCGTCCCCCCGCGTCGCGGCACGGGCGACCCCCCTGGGTCCCTCCCTCGGATGGAGCTGGAGACGGGGAGGTGGCCCGAGCGCGGGATCCGGGGGGCAGGGGACGGCGGTGCGCGCCCAGCTCCGTGTCCCCTCGGGTACCTGCGGTGGCCTCCGCGCTGCGCTCGGCGGCGCCGGGTTCCAGGGGTCAGGAGCGCTGCCCGGTGGCTCGGTCCCCGGCCCCCTCGGCGGGCTGTGCGCGGCGATGTCCCTCGGGGCGTCTCTGGGCTCGAGGTTCCCGATCGCGGGACACTGGGCCACCCGAGCGCGGCGGCGGCGGCGGTGGCCGGGCTCCGGGGCTCGGCGCTGGCCGCGGTGCGGAGGACGCGGTAATTTATAAGCGGCTTCTTCCTGACCTCGCGTGTCTGTTGTCTGCACAGGCAGCGCTCAGCATCGCCCATCCTGCTGGGTGGAAAAATACCAGCTTGGCCGGGCCGGGGGCGGGGCCGGGGCGGGGCCGGGGCGGGGCCGGGCCGGGCCGGGGCGGGGCCGGGCCGGGATGGGGGCCGGGCCTGGGCGGGGCCTGGGCGGGACCTGGTGGAGCCGGCCTGGTACCTGGGCGGGGCCTGGGCGGGGCCTGGGCGGGGCCTGGTGGAGCCGGCCTGGTACCTGGGCGGGGCCTGGGCGGGGCCTCAGCGCCCAGCCCCGCCCCGCGCGCGCCGACACACACGCGCACACACAGGCACACACACCGGCTCGCAGGCACGCACGCGCGCACGGGCTCGGTCACACAAAGAGCCCGGGCTCGCCTCGCCGAGCGCGCGCGCGCACACCCTCCCACCGCGCAGGGGACGCTGGCGGGTGCCAAGGGGTTCAGCCTGTCCTTTGGCCCCCTGCAGATGAAGAGCCAAAAGGGATCCAGGACCCCCCCACCCCCCCCACCTCATCCCTCGCTCCCCCTCCCCCCACACCCGGGTCCCCCTTTTCCTAACCAGGATCCCCAAGCCCTGCACCCGTCACCCATGCACCTGGATGTTCGGGGGAGGAGCACATGGGGTGGCCACGTTCCAAAGTACCTGGGGCCTGTCCGGGGTCTCCAGGCTGGGTTTGCACCTTTGCAAAATGGGCACCATCAGTAACCCCCCCCCCCAGGGTGGCCTGAGGTCCCGGTTGTGACAGCTCTGGTGACTGTGATAGCAGAGCACTGCAGCACAGGCCCGGAAGCCCACCCACTTTGGAGTCTGAGTCAGGAAGGTTCCCAGTTCTAGTCCAGGCAGAGCAATTTAGCAGGACCCTGTGTCGAAATTTAAAAAGAAAATCAAAAGGGCTGGGGATGTGGCTAAATAGCAAAGTGCCCCCCCCCCCCAGATTGCATCCCCAAGGCCTGGCTGCCGTGGAGGGGGGTGACGTTCCAGAATCGTAGCTTTGCCATGGCTGTGTGACTCTGGGCAAATCACTCAGAGTCTCTGTGCCTTGCTTTTCCTCATCTAAAATAGACACCAAGAAACGGTGGCAAGTATCTCCCCTGGCTGCCGAGAGAGAGGAGAGGCAAGCTGAACCGCTTAAAGAGCTCAAAACCGCTCCTGGCACCCAAGAAGTGCCAAGCGAGTGTCAGTTAATGCGACTATTTTTAAGTGGAGCCGTAGACTGTGCCCTTATTATGGCTCTTATTTGAATGAGCAGCTCCTCAGAGACCATCTTGCGCATCCACACCCCGGCGGGGCCCAAGGAGGTGCTGTGTGACCTATGGCAAAGTCTTTTCCCTCTCTGATGCCCCAGTGTTTTCTGCCTCCTTCTATGCACCTCTCTCCTGGGCATCCTCAGCAAGCCCTCGGGTTGGTGGCAATACCGTCTCTAGCCAACACCACGACACACTGTCCCCTCCTGGCCCCTGCCCCTCCTGGCCCCTGCCCAGTACCCTTCTCTAGGGACCCCAGGTGCACACTTGGGGACCATCAGGATGGATCTGGTCCTTGCCCCCACCCCCCCACCCCCGTTGAATCCAGGAGCTTGTCACAAGTCTGGCTCGTAGTAGATGCTCAACAAACAGGTGCTGTGTTTTATTCTATTTATTCTCTTTTGAGATGGGGGTTCTGAATATGTTCGCCCAGGCTGGCCCCAAACTCCTGGGCTCAGTCGACATCTTAATACCTTCGTCTCCCGAGTGACTGAGACTCCAGGTGCATGCCACCAAGCCACCACGCCTGGCTGCATTTATCTTATTGAACATGCCCTTTTATAGCACGTCGTAACCATACGCTCCGCACAGTTCAGTGCATTTCTTTTATTTACGTTTATTTTGCAGAGCTGGGGGCGGAACCCAGAGCTCTACCAAGCAGCAGCCACATCCCCAGCCTTTTCTTTCTTTTCTTTTCTTTTTCTTTCTTTTTTTTTTAATTTGGAGACAGGGTTTTGCCAAGTTGTTGAGGCTGGCCTCCAATTTGCCATCCTCCTGCCTCAGCCTCCTGAGTGGTCGGGATTCTAGGAAAGGGGGACCATGGCTGATATCCTGCCCAGCTTCAGTGCATTTAAATACAGTAGCATTCTGATCCCCCCACACACACACACACACCCATTTTAATGAAGAAGTAAGAGAATCACAGAGAAGTGAAGAAATTTGCCTTGGGTCACTCGGTGGGTGAGTAAGAGGACTAGAATCCAAACCCAAATCTTCTGGTTTTGGGGGGGGATTTGGGTCCATTTTGGAGTGATTGCTAGACAATGAACCCAAGCCCAGGCTGTGGCTCAGGTTCTCAGCATGAACGAGGCCCCGGATTCTGGGCGCTTTGGCCCACGCCTGTCATCCCAGCAGCTCAGGAGGCTGAGGCAGGAGGATCGCAAGTTGAAGGCCAGCCTCAGCCAAAGCAAGGCCCTAAGCAACTCAGGGAGACCCTGTCTCTAAATAAAATACAAAATAGGGCTGGGGACGGGGCTCAGGGGTCGAGGGCCCCTGGGTTCAATCCCTGGTACCAAAAAAAGAAGAAAATAATCTGTAATGTTTGGTTTCTCTTCAAAAATGTGAGCCTGGGCCACCTCTGGCCTCTGACCAATCGCTGCAGTTAGACAGAGCTGGGGGTGGGCGTCGGTCACCCCGACACGGGGACACGGATTCCATCCAGCTGGCTTCCTCTTCTGTGCCACCTTGTGCCCTGTGCAGGGCTGAGTTTGAGGCCCCCTCCCCCAATTCCCTGGCCCTAGGATAGTGGCCGGAAGCTTCTAGAAGATCCTGTGGACATCAAGGGAAATAAAGCTTTGGCAGCGAGGAGGGACCTTCAAGGAAATCCAGGCGGAGGATACTGGGCCGCAGTCCCTCTGGGCCAACTCTTCTCATCTCAAGAAAGAAAATCGATCCCCGGGCAGAGGTCCCAGGAGGGGTGCATGGGACAGTGGCCACGCTCCGGCAGGAAATGACATTCGATTTGATTTTCTTTTTGATACCAGGGATTGATAAGAGGCCCTTAACCCCTGAGCCTCACCCTCAGCCCTTTAGAGACAGGGTCTTGCTAAGTGGCTGAGGCTGGCCTCCAACTTGCGATCCTCCTGCCTCGGCCTCCTGAGCCGCTGGGATTCCAGGCGTGGGCCACTGTGCCCGGCCGTGAATGAGGTTTTCCAAAAGGCTCCCTGATCAAAACCCTTGTACCCTGGCTGGGCACAGTGACATAAGGCTGTCATCCAAGTGTCTCAGGAGGCTGAGGCAGGAGGATCGCAAGGTGGAGGCCAGCCTCAGCAATTAGAGACCCTGTCTCTCAATAAAATGCAAAATAGGGCTGGGGACGGGGCTCAGGGGTCGAGGGACGCTGATGGTGTGGGTTCTGATTTCTGCTGTTTCCTACCCCCCAAAGCACGGTGCCCATGGACCCCGACAGCCTGGGTCTCAGCCAAACTCGGGGCTGCAGATGGGAACCCCCCAGGACGCAGGGCTCCCTCTGGGTGCCCATCCTGGGCCCTGGGAGCGCAGAGGACCTTGGGAAGCCGTGGCCGGATGTGGTCTGCGAGTGGCAAGTCCCCAAAGCTCACTTCCTCCTCTCTCAGTGGAAACAGCAAACAGGGCCCAGGGCCAGACGGGGCAGGTGGCAGTGGGAGACGCAGAGCCACGGGCTGCAGGACATTAGCACGTCCACCGTGTGCTCACTGAAGGGGCAGCTGCCCACCTGCTCCAGGGCCACCCCAGGTCACCACCACCACCACCACCAGGCCACCTCCACCCCAGCACCCTCCTTGGGAAACAGTCTGGCAATTTCAGATGAGATGGTCTACACCAGAGGCCACGCACGCCTGCGGTCCCAGTGGCTGGGGAGGCTGAGGCAGGAGGATCGCAAGGTGGAGGCCAGCCTCAGCCACTTAGCGAGGCCCTGAGCCACTCAGGGAGACCCTGTCTCTAAATAAAATATAAAAAGGGCTGGGGACGGGGCTCAGGGGTGAAGCACCCCTGGGTTCCACCCCTGGTACCCCCCCCCAAAAAGAAAAAATCCCCCTCTGGCTTCCTCAGGGTGGCTGGGAATGAGACCCTCCTGCCTCAGCCTGTTTGCACCACGAGACTGCGCAGGCGCGGTGGGCGGGGCCTGCAGCCTCGGGGAGCGCCCAGCTGCCCCCAGAGACAGCAAAAGGGGCCAGGGGGAGACCTGCAGGGGCGGGGAGCAGCCCCACTCGTCATGACAGTCCCCCCTCTCATGTCACCTGGAGACCCCTGGGTTCAAGCCCCGGGAAGATCCTCAGTGGCTCCAACCTCAGTTTCCTCATCTGCAGCAAAGGACCCCACGTAGCCAGGGTGTGACCTGGCCGCACCCTGCCCTGCCCTCCTCCAGGGGAAAAGTGCATTTCACTTCCTGGGGGCGGGGTGGGGGGCTGCTAATTAACAGGCAGATTCCACTCAGCAGGTGGCCGCGTGGGACTGAGCTGCGGAATTCCCATATTTTTTTTTTAGGCACCAGGGATGGAACTCAGGGGCCCTCAGCCACGGAGCCCGGTCCCCAGCCCTATTCTGTATTTTATTTAGAGACAGGGTCTCCCTGAGTGGCTCAGGGCCTCGCTTTGGCTGAGGCTGGCCTCCAACCACTCGGGAGGCTGAGGCAGGAGGATCGCCAGTGGGAGGCCAGCCTCCACCATTTACACAGACCCTGTCTCCAGACCAAAAAATATATATAAAAAAATAAAAAGGGCTGGGGACGTGGCTCCGTGGTCCAGGTCTGGTCCAAGACCATGGCTCCCATCCGCACCCCCTTTTTTTGTAAATAAATCTCTCCAGGTAACTCGATGTCCCCTCTGAGCCCCAAATCCCTGGCCTCGCAGTGGCCCAGACGTCCCCAGGCGGGCCCGGATCCCTTCGCATTCTTGCGGAGGCCTCTCGGTGTCTGCTTTCTTAGTATTTGGTTATTTTTTTTCCCTCCCTCCCAAACACAACAATTCAAAATATTCTCAGCTCCCAGACAATCCCGGGGGAGAGGCTGTTCCCACTT